GAAATCATTCTATCATTTTTGAGATTATATCCCAGTACAGCTTTTCCCACTCTTTTGTTGACTATGAGGGCTACTCCATTTCTTCTACAGCAGTGGTCCCCAACCTTTCTCCAACCAGGGACCGATTGGGGGTGTGTGGGCTCCGTGCGCGCACCGGTGGGGAGCGGGGGCACCCCCCCGCACGTATGGGGGGTGTCGTGCTTGCAGGTGAGCACACTGACATGCTGGTTTAACAAACAGACAAAACAGATGGCTTCTTTTGTGTGCAAGTTAATCTTTATAAAGCTCTATAGTTTGTAGGGTCTTAAACAAAAGGTACTAGTAAGCAAGCCCCACTGAACACCATGGAACACTTCCATTCTTTGTGTTTGAGGTATAATTAAAGTTACAGATTTTCTGCCTTTGATGTGAGAAAAGCTGGGGGATAGCTCAGTGGTTTAGGCATCTGAGCAGTTGAGCTGGCTGGATAGCTCAATGGTTTAGATATCTAGCTGTGGTTGTGGAGCTAGAATTTCGGAGTTTGATTCCCCCACTATGCCTCCTGGGAGAATAGCCAGCCTGTATGGCCTTGGGCAAGCTGCACATTCCCAGGAAACCCCCAGAAGAGTGGACTGGTAAACCACTTCTGAGTACTCCCTACCTAGAAAACCCTGAAAAACGTTGCCATAAGTCAGAATTGACTTGACAGCACATGATTATTATTACGTGAGAAAAGAGCATTCCATTTCATAGGTTGTTTATCTTTCATCAACGACATGTCACTGTCTGCATTGCATAGCTTGGGCTTTTATTGTGTTACCAGCTGTCTGAAACAGAAGTACATGATGAACAAAACAGTTTGTTTACTTACAGACATTCCAGGTTTCCCAGCTTGACCACTAATTCCTTTTTTTCCTGTGAGACCCTGGAAATTTTGAAACATTTGTTAGCTGACAAAGAGGTTGAGATGCAACAATGGGTTAGCAGCCTGTATTTCTCCTGTACTGTGAAGCAGCAGGGAGTATTTGAGTTATCCAGAACTAACTGAAATACAGTAGTAAATTACATTGAATCAGTTACCTAGCATTAGTTGAAATACAGTAGTAAATCGATTGAATCAGTGAAAAATTGATGACACAATCCCTCTGTAATTGCATCGATTCAATGGGCTACTCCAGTTATGATTTACTACTAGATTTCAGTCATTAGACTACTCCCAAAGAATGTAAAAGCCACTCCCATGTCAGGGGAATCCAAGATTATAAGCAGGTAGCATGTTCTTAATTCTTTAGGTATACAGTTGCTCAGAATACAATGCTCCTTTACAGACACACTACCCGCTACCATGCCTGAGAGGCATTCCATTTATAGTATAGCATAAATGGCCGATCAGTGGTCAATCAGCTCCAGGCCCTCCTGGAGGAAACTGATGCCCTTCATCCATTCCAGTCGGGCTTCAGGACGTGGCATGGTAAGGAAACAGCATTGGTTGCCCTGCAGGATGACCTCCTGAGGGAGGCTGACAGGGGCAATATGACCTTGTTGGTCCTCCTCGATATCTCAGCGGCCTTTGACACTGTTGACCACAGTATCCTCCTGGGGCGGCTCTCCAAGTTGGGAATCGGTGGTCTCGCTTTGGCGTGGCTCCGTTCCTTCTTGGAGGACCGTCCCCAGAGCGTACAGCTTGGTGAGATGACTTCCACCCTGTGGATCCTCAATTTTGGGGTTCCGCAGGGGTCCATAATCTCGCCAATGCTATTTAATATCTATATGAGGCCGCTGGGTGAGGTCATCTGGAGCTGTGGGGCCCAGTATCATCAGTACACTGATGACACCCAGCTTTAGTTCTCCTTTTCTCCAACTGCAGTGGATGCTGTTCTGACCCTTGAATGCTGCTTGGGGACCGTTCTGGAGTGGATGAGGGCAAAAGGACTGAGGTTGAATCCGGACAAGACAGAAATCTTGTGCATGGGTGGCCCCGGCATCATTGGGTTGGGAAACTCCCTGTCCTTTGGGGGAGTGACTCTTCCCACAAAGAGTGAGGTTCGCAACTTGGGCATCTGCCTGGACTCGGATCTCAAAATGGAAACCCAGGTGGTATCTGTGGTCCGGGCAGCCCATTTCCTTCTTTGGAGGATTGCCCAGCTGCGTCCCCATCTAGACACGGGTGCACTCAAGATGCTGGTTCATGCCCTTGTAATCTCAAGAATAGACTACTGTAGTGCTCTCTACGTGGGGCTACCCTTGAGGCTGATGCGGAGACTTCAACTGGTCCAGAATTCAGCAGCCAGATTAATAACTGGGGTGAAAAAATTCCAGCAGATCTCCCCCCATTCTGGCTGCCCTTCATTGCTTACTGGTTCATTTCCACATCTACTTCAAGGTTATGATGATAACATTCAAAGCCCTAAATGGTTTAGGACCTAGGTACCTATCAGAATAGGGACGTGGTGGCACTGCAGGCTAAACCGCAGAAGCCTATGCTGCAGGGTCAGAAGACCAGCAGTTGTAAGATCGAATCCACGCGACGGAGTGAGCTCCCGTCGCTTGTCCCACGAAAGCAGGCAAATGCGAGTAGATAAATAGGGACCACCTCGGTGGGAAGGTAACAGTGTTCCGTGTCTAAGTCACACTGGCCATGTGACCACGGGAGATTGTCTTCGGACAAAACGCTGGCTCTATGGCTTGGAAACGGGAATGAGCACTGCCCCCTAGAGTCGAACACGACTGGACAAAAAAATTGTCAAGGGGAACCTTTACCTTTACACCTATCAGAATGCCTGCTCCCAGCCAGATCTATCCGTGATACCCATTCTTCACAGGCAGGGCGGTTGAGGGCCTTGACCCCAAAGGAGGTCCGGAGGAAAACAAGAAACTGGGCCTTCTCGGTGATTGCCCCCCACCTATGGAACAACCTGCCTATTGAGGTCCGCCTGGCATCCTCGCTGGATGGGTTCAAAAGAGCATTGAAGATCTGGCTCTTCCGCCAGGCTTTCCCAGAGCACTAGGATCTCACCCTCCCTTTTTACCATTCTTTTTGCCATCCTCTCCATCACCCTTTTTACCACCTTTATTGCCATCTTTTAATTTCCCTATTTGTTATGTTTTTAATATTATTCCTTATATTGTTGTTAGCTGCCCAGAGTGGCCTGGTTGCCAGATGGTGTGGGATATAAATTCTCATCATCATCATCATCATCATCATCATCATCATCATCATCATCATCATCATCATCAATGGAAATATATCCATCTAGTCCACAGATCAGTTAGTTTGGAATCTCTCTTTTATAAATACAGTATTCTGATTATCTTCTGTTAGAGTTTCCTTGTGATCTATTTGGAATAGAATTTGGAACCATTTATTACCCTGAGATCATTACATCTGAACCAGACCACTGGAATGAGATTTCACGTTTTCCTATCTATAGTCTGTGGCTTGGAAAGTTTGGGCATACAGTGGACCTCCCTTCCTTATCTCCATGTACTAAACAAATGGGCAATGGGCAGCACATGGCTTGTGGGCCACCATGTGTCCCCCTCTCTTTTTTGCAGTCCTCTGAGTCCCACTTTGGCCTGAGTTATTTATTTTTTTGGTTAAAGCACAGAGAATAATGCTTCAGGAAGCACAGTTCTGATTTAAACCAAGACCCCCACTCCCAGCGGTCCTAAATAAATTGCAAGTAATGGGCTTCTTTCCTCAAGCAATATTAAGCATGCAATGGGATGAAGCAAAATCAGCCCTTAAACAGAGAATAATGGATATGGAGAGACAGGTAGATCTCAATAGATGCCCCAATTTTAGAGCAATAGACATGCATAAATATCACCCGCTCCCTATGGCCTACCTATCACAGCATGAGATGTATAAGTTTAGGAAAGCCTTTACTCTGGCTAGAGGTGAGGCTTTCCCTTCTGCGGAGTTGGAAGGCAGATTTAAGAAAATCCCAGGGGAACAGAGATTCTGCCCTTGTGGCTCTGACGAGATAGAACCTATTGAGCATATGACGCTCTGATGTAATAGGCACAATAAGATCCGAGGAAAATACAGAGATGCCTCGACTTACGAATTTATCGGCGGCTCCAAAATGGCCGCCGGACGCGAAAACATCGCTGGAGGGGTAAGTTTGCACACTTATTGGAACGCATTAAACTAAGTTTAATGCGTTCCAATAGGTTTTACTTACCCGCACAGCGATGTTTTCGTATAGCGAAGGTTAATCCGGAACGGATTAACCTCGCTATACGGGGCACCACTGTATTTTGCTTTTTCTATGTCTGGTATGGCTCTTTCTGGCGCATGCCAGTATTTGAAGTTTTGTATTCAATTTTGTATGGCTTGATGCCATAACAATAAAGTATGTATGTATCTATGTATACATCCTGTTGACTGATTTCTACTCTAGTTGGGAGTAGCAATTACTGGTCTACTAATTTTAGAACAGTTTTAAAACACTTCAGCAGCATGCAACCAATCAATAAATGTAAAGTATTCCACAGTAAGACTCCTTTCTTCTGTCTAATTTAATTGCTAAAAACCAGTCTAAAAAAGAAGATACTGGAAGGAACCCGACCTGGCTTCCCAAGGAACAGCACTACAAACCTAGGAGCAGGTTCTTTCTCACATCTACACCAAACAGGGCTGTGAGGGCGGTGGGACTGAGAGAAGGGCATCTCCTGAAGATCTTAAAAATCAGGGAGGTTCATAATGGGAATTACCTTCCACATATGTTGCCCATCCATGATACAGATTTATATTTAAAATGTCCTGAATGCACACAACTCCACCTCTTATTTCTGAAAGCAAATGTCTTGAAGGTATCAGGCGCCTCTCAAGGTGGGGAAGTGTATGTGAATCTACTTTTCTTGTGCTTGCCTTGTATTTCTGAGTAGGAAATGAGTCTTGCTTTTGTTGCCAAACTGGAGTTTGTTTGTTTGTTTTAATAAAGGAAAGTGGGCATTTATTATTTGAATTCCTCTTTCCGTGTGATTAGTCTTGCAGACAATATCAGCACAATATTCAAGTTATGAACATAGGATTAACTTTGTTTCAAGAACAACATTGTTCATCAAGTTTCTGGCTGTTGAATTATTTTTAGGATTAACATTGTGATTGTAAATACAAATTATATAAAATTCCAGCCTAGGAGACATAATGGAAAGTTAGAAAGGAGCCACAGAAGACTGACGGAACAATGGGGATATTAAAACTCATTTTAATGCAGGCTTTTAAAAATATATTTTAAATCACTCTGTGGTAGAAGGCAACACTTCCTTGGCAGCCTTTACTGTACTCTCAAATCAATGTGTCATTAGAAATGAAACATTTGTACTGGTGTCCTTGGAATTTAGCCAAAACTTGTTATGCCAAACACACATGCTTTGTGCCACACAGCTGTACTTTGTATACAAATGAATTCAAATGATTTGTATAATAGCTCTAACCGCAGAAAGCTCCTTAAGGCTACAGGTTCCTGAACTGTAGTCCCCAACCCCACTCAGCACGCCACATCACTCATTCTGAAATTCAGCCCAAGTTCAAAAAAGTAGCTTGCAGAACATTACAATCCCAAAGGACTTCTAAGCATGCAGAGTCTGTTGTGTGGTTCTCTGGTTGGTGGCCTTCATCAAACTGAATGCTCCTCCAAACCTGGATTCCTGAGTGGACTTCCTTTTCAGGGCATAAAATAAAATGATTCAGGTGTGTCTTGAGAAGAAGCAACTTTTTGAAAAAAGAGATTAAAAGAAGGGAAAAAGGAAGTGTCATGGCACGTGAGGTCAAAAAAGAAAAATGTCTTAAAGACATGAAGCCAGAAATGCAATCTCCCTAAATTTTTCTGCCCTTTCTGCCACTGATGTCAGCACTCAAAAGAGATGTACTGTAGCTGCTTATATTTTCCAGCAGACCCTTTCCAAGACTTTCTGTGTAAATGCCACAGCATGCACAATCAAGAGCTAAGTTCCAGCACTTGAGACCAAGTCCTAATTCTTTATGAGGAAGAAGGCCTTTCCAGCAATGGCACCCTCATTATGGACCCTTTTTCTAGAGAAGATTTCTGGAGCAATTAAAGAAGCTGGCAAAGAAAAACAGACATTTGTGAGGCAAAACTTAAGATAATATTCAGAGCAATATCTGTGTTTTTGAAAGTATTAGGCTCTTTTGTCTTAATTTTGAGCTGTCCAGGGGATTCAGCAGAACCTCAGGGGAACACAGCAGTTTGAGAAATAAACAACAGAAGAAAGTAGTTGCTAATAAAGTGAAAGACAAAGTAGAGAAAGGGTTGTAACCTATGTTTCAGGTTAAAGCTGAAGCTTATAATTTCTGGTAATGCTTTAATCTTTAAGTGGCAATCTATGGGTCCCTCACAGACCAAAAAAGAAAGAAAGAAAGAAAGAAAGAAAGAAAGAAAGAAAGAAAGAAAGAAAGAAAGAAAGAAAGAAAGAAAGAAAGAAGGAAAAAGAAAAAGAAAAAAGAGCTCCAATTGAGAGCTAAAGAACCTATTAGAAATGTTTCCTTGTTAAGGACAATTGATTTTTGCTCCCTTTGTCAAAAGAAGGATGCTACAGTAGCTTCAGTCACACAAAATATCCTTTACATGACCACAGATTCTGAACATGGGAACAGACAGACAAAACTATAGGTAAGCTGATAAATAAAATGGTTAGCTTTCAAAGCATCACAAACCTCCAACTTGAAATATCTCTTTAAAAAAAAACATATTTCCTTTTCTACCTACTTGAGATCCCCTTTCTCCTTTTGGTCCTGGTTCACCTTTTTCACCTGGCTCACCCTTTGGAAAAAACAGAGGTTAATGTGAAACAATGCTCAGAAGATACTTTAAAAAAAGGAATTCCCTCATCCTTCCCTAGGTAATCACCATTTTTTAAATTTTTCATTATATTGAACAGAAGAAAGTTAATCCACTTTTACAGTAGACTTACTGGGGGGCCTTGTTGTCCAATGGCACCTCTACGTCCTGGAAGCCCCAAATGACCCTAGAAACAGGAAGTACAATGTTTTATTTGCTAATGTTATCAGTTTCTGTTGAGACTGTATATTGAGAGGTGCTAAGTTCTGCTTCATTATGTTGTTTACATTACAAGGGCATTACTACATCCTTTTCTTCCAGATATACCCTGTTTAATCAGCTCTGATCTGAAGCCTCCACTGCCAAAGTTACATGAAAAATATATCTATGGGAATGCTACCTAAGAAATCTTGCCTCTGCCTTCTGCATAGAATTGTACATGCCCTGCTGAGCAATTCTGGGAGCATGTAGCCCAAAAATCAAGCTTTTCCAAGCTTTGCTTTTTCATAACTTCTGATTCTTCCTCTACCTGTCTTTTTGTTGGTGTAACAAAGCTCACAAGCTTTCCATTTTTAGCGTGTACATATACCACCCAAAAAGAAGATTGTCAACACATCAGTTTAGTAAGCATGAGGCTCTGTCTTTTCTCACTGTTAACTGTGCAAATTTCATAAATATCTGCCATTCATACAAATGTTTCCTAGAATTAGGGTAGCCACTTAAGAAAACGTGCTTACATGGATTGAGGTCCCCTCTAGTACTGACATAGGTTGTGAAACAGTGACATGAACCCAAAACTGCTGTTTTGGTTTAGCCTGTTGGGTCATTTTATTTTATTTTAATTTCTGTTTTGGCTGGCCAGATGCTTCAATTTGGATTTATTTGATTATTATCTGCTAACTGCATTAACATACGGCTTGTTTAACTGTCCAATTATGGCTTCACTTCCAATTTGTTATATGTAAACATTTCTTCTGTTACTGATCTTATCATTGTATTCAAGTAAGACTCTTTTTTGCATTTTGCATCTGATGCTTGTTATTGTCTTTTTCGTGCAGGTCCTTATTTTCTTCTTCTTTTGTACAATTTTTGGACCTCTCCCTGCTGTGTGTTTGTTTCTGGATCTGTACTACACTTACACTCAATCTTTTCAGTCGAAATCATAAGCCACTGCCCATATCTTTAAACCCATCTTCTCAGCACTGACCTTGATATGTAGGATCCCAAATTCTGATTAGATTCTAGCATGACTGTCCATATTTCCCCAACTTCAAAAGCCCACTCCACTCCTGCCATCTCCCTTAACAGTTGATGAGGTTTTTCTTAAGAAGTGTTCCTCTGTGTGAGATGGACAATTTTGTATTTCTGGTTTAAATAATCTACAGAACATGGTGTATTTCAATAAAAATCACAACAAGTTTTACCTTGTAACCTACATCACCAGGTTCTCCTCTCTCTCCATGCTCACCAGCAGGCCCCTAGAGACACAACAACAAACAGTTCAGAATATTTGAAATATGGCTGCTTGGGGAACTAAATAACAACAAATGAAACAAAATATTCAAAAGGCAGCCAGCTTTCATCATAAAGGAAAAAAGAAAGAACATTTGATACTAATATTCAATTACAAAAGGCCACTGAAATTTATTTTTTCATAAAAAATGACCGTATAACTATTAACACCTGAGATATTGCCTACAATAATTTATAATACAGCTGTTTAAGGGTTTGTATCTTCTTTCTTAGGCATCCTTCAGTCCCGAAAGACCATGGTAACACAATCTGTATGAGTGTCCTCTCCAGAGCACAAAGCCTCGGTAGAATAATATGGAGGATAGGCTGTTACGCAAGCAGCAAATCCCCCCTCTCCTTTCAGTGAGCTCTCCATACCTAACAAAGATCTCTCCTTCTCTTCACAGATAAAAACTAACCCATTTATTCAACACCTGAATAAGGCTACGGTCTTACCAAGTTCATGATTAAACCTTTTTAGAAAATCACATGCAGAATATGATTAAAAACAAGACAGAGTTTGCATAAGTCTAAGTACAATTGGCAGGGACGTGGTGGCACTGCAGGTTAAATCGCAGAAGCCTCTGTGCTGCAAGGTCAGAAGACCAGCAGTCATAAGATCAAATCCACGCGATGGAGTGAGCTCCCGTTGCTTGTCCCAGCTCCTGCCAACCTAGCAGTTCGAAAGCATGTAAATGCAGTTCGAAAGCATGTAAATGCAAGTAGATAAATAGGTACCACCGCGGTGGGAAGGTAACAGCATTCCGTGTCTAGTTGCACTGGCCACGTGACCATGGAAACTGTCTACGGACAAACACCAGCTCTACAGCTTGGAGATGGAGATGAGCACCATGTCCTAGAGTTGTACACAACTGGACTAAATGTCAAGGGAAACCTTTACCTAAGTACAATTATTTTCAACTATGACAGTTCTAGACTCTTTTCCACAATATGACTATAGTTTTCTGGATAAAGAAAGACCTACTGGTTCACCTATGGGCCCAGGTGGTCCTAGTATTGTGTTGTCTTCCCCAGGATAACCCTATAATGAAGAAAAAAATCACAGTTTATTCATCATGGTTTTTGACTGTTTTGTTATTAAAACTAATAATTGGCACATTAGAACTATATTTGTTGCATTTCTTTTACTTAACTGTTTGTGATCATTACCAGTAAAATCAGTTAAGATATCTTACAGTAACTTCCTAATCTGAAGAACAATATACTTGCTGCTTCATAATGGCCCCATTATTGATGTATTTTAAGAGAACTCTTACGAAGTTTTTATTTGAATTTGTGTTTCATTCATTGCCACATTTGACAAATTGTTTCTGCTCATTTTGAAGGGGTGTATTTGAGGTTTTTGTATAGAATGTCATATGGAGTTTTCTCTGTATTTGTTTGCAACAATAAGGGGCCCTGAAAAACAATATAAAACAGTTTCTTAAAAATAAAGAAAAACAAGACATTCTGTACATTTATGATTCCTGTAATACATTTGGAAAGCAGAACTGTTTATGAGTAAAACATAATATTTCAATTAGAGCAAACAGGAATGTTACAATGAACGGAGCAGGGTGGTTATACAAGTGAACGTCCTTATTTGCTTCTTGTGGGGAAGTGCAGGTCAAGCCAGTCTCCTTAGCCTCTTCACAGGAGGGCCATATGAGGTGACAGCATGAGTGACTATAGTAACCATCTCTGCCCACTTGACAAAGGCCCTACCCCATGCACTTGGGCAGGAGAGAGAAGAAGCAGAGGTGGTAGCAGCTCTGACCTCACCAAGGTACCTTTCTCTCCAAGACGGCATTGTGAGGCAAAATCCCAGAAGCTCTTTTTGGAGGGAAAATGATGGTGAGAGTGCCTGCAGATGTCACTCTGTCAGCGAGGGAGCTTCAGAGAAGGAGGTGGCAGAAGCTAGAGATGTTGATTCTGCGTTTGAGGGATTTGCATGTATTTGCTTTGTGCATGGACTCCTAAGGAATGTGAAAAAGCCTAGTCCCATTTCACACTGAACAAAAAGATGCTCATGTATTCTGAAGATCAAACATGATTGATCTAAAGGTCATCAAAGGTGAATAACTTCAAAGTTGTTCAGAAGAACAATAAGCACAATATCTTACATGATGACCTCTAGGTGGTGTCTGCACAGTTTGCAGCCAGATGCCTGATGTGACTGAAACAATCAATGCTCGCACAACACTTTTTAAAATCAAGGATGTTATGGAAAATAAAAAAGTATCTGTGTCCCCTGCTCCCACTACAATGCAGTCAGTGCCATCAATGCCACAGCTTTTTAAAAATATGTGTGCATCTTTGGGCTAGAATAGATAATAATGCTTAGCAAATTTTTGCCAGAGCTCTCTGAAGTCCTTAAAGACATGACTGTTATTGCATGTATTTTTCCTAGTGACGTATCTTTTATTTGGTGGGTTTTGTTTTGTGATTTGTCACTGAATGGTTGAAATTCCTCTGTGGGAGAGTAAACAAGTTGAGTGTAGGGAATGTGCATTCTCTTGAAGATCTAGTAGGCAAAATCCTGTTGCGTAGTTATGCTGGTGGAAAGGACATGGTGCAGCTCACAGCAACTGTTAACAAGTCACCACTTGGATTCTGCATTGCACCACAGTTGGGTAGCTTGGCACTTGATCAGGTGGACCCAAGCAGAGACTACTTATCTGGGAGGAAATTACAGCCTTTCTCTTCCAACACTGTAACTACACAACAGGATTTTGCCCAGCATTTTGTAAAACCATCCTCATGACAGACACAACCTAAGTGGTTCTATTAATTCATGTCACAGTTTATCTTGACACTGTTTTATCCTCCCAGGGTGTTTCTATTTTTTATGTAAATCTGGAAAAAATCATGTGGTTTGCAAAAGATATGCTTATTTTGTGAGTTTTTGTGATTTCTGTCCAATAACAATCTCTGTCAGCTACAAAAAATGTAAGAAATATACATTACTGCTCTTTTTACCTTCTCTCCTTTAGGTCCTGGAAGGCCAGGTGCTCCTGGTAGCCCTTGGTGGCCCTAAGAAAATAAAAATCTGTGTGAATTTCCTTCCATTTTTGCACTTAGAAAAATTAGCTATAACTATTAACTAAAAAGCTAATGTACAGTTTATGGTGACATGTCAGATAAATTGTTCCCTGACCAGAAAGACTTTTTAAAAAAATAGGCAGGCCACAAATGCTTACGGATAAGATTGCTAGCTTTTCAGCGGGTTTTAAACTGATTAGAGAGTAACGGCTTCTTAAAAACATGTGTTGACATCTTTAAAAACCCTGAAATTGTGATTGGTAAGTAAAATTTTTCATTTCCTCCCCCCGCACTCAGTTAAAGGTAAGTATAGCTCTTGAAAGCAATGTAGGGATCAGACCTTTGAATGATCACCTCAAATAAAGCAGGAACAAATAAAAATCCTACTTTCTTATCAGGGCAGCCAGTAATAAATAGTTTACATAAACTTACATACAGTGGTGCCTCACATAGCGACGAAATCGCTTAGCGACGGAGTTTTTGCGATCAGAAAAGCGATTGCTTTGTGATGGTCCCTATGGGTTTTTTTCGCTTTGCGATGATCGCAGGGAAGCGATCATGGCAAAACGACCCTTTTTAAACAGCTGATCGGTGGTTTCAAAATGGCCGCCTGCTGTTTTTCCTTGCTTAAGAGGCAGCGAAAATGGCGGCGCTATGGAGGATTTTCGGTTAAAGGTGAGTTTTAAGCCCATAGGAACGCATTAATCGCGTTTTAATGCATTTCTATGGACTTTTTAATTTTACTTAGTGATGTTTTCGCTTAGCAATGTTTTTTCCAGAACGGATTAACGTCGCTAAGCGAGGCACCACTCTACTACCAAAATATCAGCATCAATGCCGTTTTTGTAAATATAGAATGTAGTTGAGATGAGATGCTAGTAAGCATTTAGTGGACAACTCACAGGCCCTGAATTTTCTGACTTCACGGCACAGAATGACTATATACTTGCAAATCCCCTGGAAAAGGAAGACATTCAGTAACCATGGCTTATTCCAGCCATTCTCCCCAAGCCCTCATGGGCACACACCAGTTGTTATAGCTAGCAAGCAAGTGTGCTTCAGAGCGGCATAGAAAGGAAAGGGGCAAAATAGGTAGAAAAGTGGTGGTTTCTGAGCCTCCTCTTTCACTGGGTAATTTAAATATCCAGATGGCAACCTGGCAATGATACACTGCAATCCACTCTCAGACAAATATGCATGCTTATCGCAGAAGCTGATAGACCATGACAATTAAAGTACAATATGGATGACAGTTAATATAAACACAACAGAAAATATGAAGAGACATACAAACACATTCTGGAAATGTATCGTACCCCATAACCTGGAATTCCTGGCTCTCCTACAGATCCCATGGTGCCTAAACGTCCCTATAGAAGTAAAAGCAGCAATAAAACACATTTTAATTATTTCATTAGTCAAACTGTCACTCCACATAACACTTCTAATTTGGAAAAAAGAGACTGGAAAATTATGGAACACACATATTTCAGCATATGTAAATCCAACTGATCTGAAATGGAAAGAGTCGGCTATATTGTTAACTCCCAATTGCATTCATTGTAATTTAAATATGCTTAGTTCTGGCTGAATTGACCCTACAGAGATTCCTCTTCTCTTTCCCATATATAACATTTAGACGGCTAAACATTCTGGCAATCACAGTGACTGAAGATACAGTGGGGCCTTGACTTACGAACATCCCTACTTATGAAAATTTTGAGGTACAAAAAGCTCCGGCCACAAAATTTTGGTTCGACTTGCGTCTGGAGTTTTGACCTATGAAAGGCAGGGGGAAAAGGCAGGAAATTCGAAGCTGCCCCCACGCGGCAGAGGCAGTGGGGACAGGAGGCAGAGGGCAGCAGGGACGGCTTTGGAAGTCCAGGGCAGAGGGCAGCAGGGACAGCTTTGGAAGTCCAGGAATAGTTTTCAATGCATTCCTATGGGAAATGGTGCTTTGACTTACGAAGTTTTGAGGGAAATGGTGCTTTGACTTACGAAATTTTGAAGTTGTGGCCACCATTCCAATACGGATTAATTTTGTAAGTCGAGGCACCACTGTATGGGATATGCAGTTATGAAGTGACAATCAATCAATCAATAAGCAAGCAAGCCAGTTTATAAAAACTGCAAGAAATGAAATCCAATGAATTTCTTTCCTAAAAAGTATCTGAAAAGTTGTAGGCAAGCAGATTCCATACTTTTAAGAATCAATCTAACAGAGTCTCGGCAAAGAACACTGCATCTTCTAACAAAGCAGGCCAATTTTAGAATATTTCAACTAAACACTTTGTGGGGGGAGTAAGAGATCTTAAAGACAGAAAGTCTCAGAAGTCTTTCATTAAGGTCTTCATATTATATAGTTTGAATACCATGTCACAGAAATATTAAATATAATTGTAAAAGAACATATTCCACGCGCCATCATTTTTTCCCAGTTGTTCTGGAAAACAAAAAAACAGCTTTGGAAAAAAACTGGAAAAATGTGTATTTCCACCACCATCACCACCTTTTCCACTTTTCCCCCAGGCCTTTCTATCTCTAAGGAGGACTGGATCATGGGTGCCCCTGTTGGTGTCCCATATTCGAACCAGGGACCTAAGGCCCCCAAACTACCTCAGTGGTTGAAGACAGTTTACAAGGCACTGGGGCCTTGGTGCTTAGCCCTTCCTAAGACACCAGAATGCAAACAGAAGACACAGTAATGATGTCAATCCTGAGAGTTGGAGGATGGTCACTGGGGGAATGGTGGGAACTAGTGCACCCCTGATGGATGAAAGATATAAAAGTAGCTTTGCTACCAGAGGAGGCAGAAGCTTGGCAGGAGACTAAGAGAGAGGAGGATATTTGCCAGGTGGAAGAAGGACTGGTGCCAAAGGAGGGAGGATCATCTGCTCCAGGGAGAATAGGCACCCCTGGGCCAGAGGAGCATGCAAGTACTCCTGTGATAGGAGGGGAGGAAACAGGTATTCTTGTGACAGAGGGGGAGGAATATCACCTGTGAGGGGAGTGATGGGGGAAAGCCAACTCTTGTCCAAGAGCGGGAAACCCAACCCCAGGACTCCAAAGATGCATAAGGATCAGAGGCAGAAGAGACATCCTTTGGGGGAAAAAGACTGATGAGATGCCCATGAGTAGTAAAGTAATTACTGGGCCTCAGAGTCACCTCAGGAAGACGTTCAGGGTGAATGGGACTGCATACTGTATATATGAAGTAGAGATGGGATATTTATGTTTGTATACAAATATGACTATCCTGGACTCAAATGGCCGGGATCCCCAATCCCACCTCCCTGAACTGACCCGTCCACTTACAGGTCGCCACGTAGCATCGCAGCCAGCATCCTGCTTGGCATGCCAATCCTGTACCCTTTCCTGCCTTTCTGGCCATTCCAGCCAGGGGGTGGGATGATGAGTTTTCCCCTTCAGCTGCTGAGTGGCCAGAAGAGCAGGAAGGCAGAGAAGCGCTAGCCAGATTATGTGGCCAGAAGAGCAGGAAGGTAGAGAAGCGCTAGCCAGATTATGTTTGGGGTTGGCGTGATGAGCAGAATGCCGGGATGGTTTGGGGAGGTGGGAGATCCCAGCCACCTGGGTTCAGAGTATTTGTATACGGATATTCCATCTCTAATAAGGAGTATCCCAGTCAAGGGGTCTAAGGATTTCTAAGGAGAAGCTCTAGAGGCCACCTCCATAACCCTCCTATTGGGGAAAAAGAGAGAGGAAAGAAAAGAAGGAATGGAGAAAGGAATGCATCTCATTTTCCCCCATAGGTGAAGAAGGAAGGGGGCATCATGACCACCAAAGCAGAGTAGTAAGGAAACAAGTGATCCCAGAGAAGGAATCCCAACAAACCTGCCCCGACTCCAAGGAATACCTCTGGGAGACAGACACCTTGGGTGTCAGACTGGACTGGCTGAATGGAATGGGGACTTGGTGAAGGGAACCAAGTCACCCTGAGAGATTTTGAACCCCTTGGTGAATAGAACCAGAGAACAGAAAAGCAATAGTGAGGATGCAGGAATGTTGTCTGAAACCAGAATTTCTGATGCTGATGCAAGCCATTATTATCTTTCTCCCTGATCCAAGTTTCAGTAAATGACACTTAGTTTGATTCATTGCCTACCGATTGTGTGGAGAAAGGGATGGAAAGCAGGAACTCAGCAGAAGCTGCAGGAGTAGTTTAACTGTCTGGATAGATAATCAAACAGAGTACATGATTGCTGTTGTCTGAAACCAGAATTTCTGATGCTGATGCAAGCCATTATTATCTTTCTCCCTGATCCAAGTTTCAGTAAATGACACTTAGTTTGATTCATTGCCTACCGATTGTGTGGAGAAAGGGATGGAAAGCAGGAACTCAGCAGAAGCTGCAGGAGTAGTTTAACTGACTGGATAGATAATCAAACAGAGTACCTGATTGCAGAGCCAGAGGTATGAAGTTCAATTCCCCACTGTGGATACCCAAGAAAAGAACCAGCCTATATAACCTTGGGCAAGCTGAATACTCCCAGAGTGCCCCAGGAAGTAAAACACCTCTCTATATAAACACACTTTATACAGAGAAAACTGTGGAAGGGGTTGACATGAATTGGAATTGATTTGGTGCCACCCAATAATCAGAGATAGTTTGTGAAATAAGCTTCAAGTGTTTCTGTGTCCACCATGGATAGAGAACTATGTGTAGGTTTTACAAGACTTTTGAATTCAACGCATAACTAAAGATGATGATGAAGAGTTTATACAAACGCATAGCCAGAGAGCCAATGTGGTATAGTGGACTCAGTAACTGAGGCTTAAATCTCTACCCAGTCTTGAAAGTTCCTACTGTCCTTCAGCCCAACTTCTGTGTTTTAGAGAATGCAGGTCATAAGGTTGCTGTGACAGTAAAAGGGAGGGAAGATAACCATGCATGCCACTTTACAGCTCCATGGAGAAAATAATAAATAAATGAATGAACAAAGCTGCCACACATTAGCTGAAATTCTGCTGCTTTGTTACACAGGCAGAAAGCAAAAGGCACAGCATTTTGTTTGCTTCTAGCTGCCACTGTGATTCTTGGGGACAGACATGCATGATGGCTTAAGTGTGCACTTAAGAATTTCAGCAGGGACTCGTTAATTGTTGGCTAGAGGTATGCGAATGTTACACCATTATACAATGGTTGTGTTTAATCCAGAATCATCTACTTTGGCTGGTAGTGCTTCTCCATGGTCTCTAGAAGACACCTTGACAACTCAACTTTGTTTTGGCTGCAGTCTGAATTTGGAGCAAAGAATCTGTTGGCACTGAGCTATTGTTGCTATTCACAAAGGTGCAAATGTGACTGAGTGGGAAGTTACTTGTGCAAAAACAATCCAGATATTTAAAGGTCTATACAGTCTTTTTAACGAGCATCTTTCATCCATTTTGTCAACCCATTCAATAAATGTTGACTGAACTGGCTAAAAAGTAAATTAAGCCTTAAAGATACTGCAGATATTGATGTATATGCACCACAGATTTTTGCCTTTGGAAAATTCATAATTCAAAAGACAGAAAACAACCCTATAAATACCTATTGTCTTTCATATACAGTATATAATGACATGTTTTCTAATAAAGATGCAGGACTTCTGCATAAATGTGTATACATAATTATAGGGCATTGCACCAACCAGTAGGCCTCTAGTTCCTCTTGAACCCTTTGGACCAATTTCTCCAGGCTGACCAGGATCACCAGTGGCTCCAATTTCTCCTGGGGGGCCATGCTGTCCCTTTTCCCCCTATTTGGGAGAAGAGAAAAAAAAAAAACAGAATAAAATTAGGCTGAATGAAAACTCCTTGAGAAAGCCAATATAATCACATAATCAAATTAATGTTCTGTTTTAAAACTGACACCTGTCCAATTACTAATGAATAGTAATTTTTTAAAAGTACATGCAATACATAATTGCTCATGAAAAAAAGAAATTTCAATTTAAACATAAGGTGAAGCATAAAGACCAACTACCTTTTTCCCCACACGACCTCTTTGACCTGGACTTCCTGGAGGTCCTTCAGGCCCCTGTAAGATTTGTCAGGAAAGAAAACAAAATTGAGCACATGTCTACATTATGATAGGAATTTTAAATTACTTTTAAAATCCAGGCTTTTATTAAATTTAGTCTTGAACTCATCACTGGGACTATTCAATTTTGAAGAACAGCAATATCACCTTTAGGATGATTTTTATCAACCCAATGGAAAATGCAAGAAAATATAATGTCTGGACAGAGAATAGCAGCCGAGGACCAAAATAAACTTTGTTTTCAGGGAAAATATTACATGCAGTAAAACAGAATATGCAAGCAGGGAAGGACAAAAGCATCTTAGACTAAGGCCAGTGAAAGCAGATATACATTTATGCCTGAAGCTCCTAACAGAGAGAGTGCAATCAGATGGGGGGAAAGAGGTCACATTTTGGACCATTTGTGACCTGGTCCTATGAGAGCTATTTCCAGGTGATCACATCACATAAGTGAGATTCCCAAACCAGCCCAGCCTCGATCGATACCAAGCTGGAACCTTCTTAGTACAGCAGCAGGGCTACTCTTGGGGAGTGGGGGAATGGAGTGGAGCTGTTTCTACATGGATGGAAGGGTTACTTTAAGGGAGCTTGCTCCCAGCAAAACAACTCCAGTGCAATCAGATGTGATCCTTTCACATCATTTGATCCCATCCTAAGTACAGTCAAGATGGCTGAGGACCACCTGAGTCAATACTAGGCCAGATGAACGTGTGCTGAATCCACTCACGCTCCCAACCTAGAAATGCAGGAAATTACTTAGGGCTGCTGTCAACCTGGCCTAACCTTCTGCTGGTATAGTGGCTATGTCCATAGGTTCCAAGAAACTGGGATTCAGTATAATTTGCCTGCTCCCTTTCTTATGTCTTCTGCTGCCTTTCTTTGGCTCTTCTACCCACAGATTTTAGGCAGCAGAGCAGTTCTACTGACAGCTCTTCAGAGCCAGACCTCTGAGATCAGGCAACAGAAGAGGCTTCAGTTGACACAAGGACACTTCTGCTAGCAGAAGTGGCTTCTGCCTATTCCAAGCCCACTACAGCTGGCAGTTTTGAATTAGAATTACACTGTGAGCCAGGTACAAGGGTCAGTGAAGTACAGAACTACCTAGTATTTTAGGAAAATACCTCCTAATAATAGTCTGTGAGCTCTTTTAAATGAGAATAAGATGTTAAGTACAGTATTTGAATTCATATAAGACAAAGACTCAAGTACTGCCCCCTCACTTATTGGTACTGAAATATTACCCACCCACCCCCCACTATACTCCAAATGCTTTAGAAGATCAGAGATCAGCTAGTCTGTTCCCACCAATACAGGTTCCTCTCGCTTTTCAAATAAATAAATAAATAAATAAATAAATAAATAAATAAATAAATAAATAAATAAATAAATAATAAATAAATAAATAAATAAATTTTAAAGATGGGAAACCAGAGCTAAGGGTTCAGATGGAAAATTAAACAGAATTATGAAATGGTAACAATAATCTATTTAATATAACCAAAGAATATCAGTGAGATAAAGGAGTCCAACTACTAATCAACAAATTCCAAAAACCACTTGGATTGAGAAATTATCTCTGTATTTGAACCCTCACCATCACCAACATTCAGCAATATTGAAGGTAGGCGGGAATCATGCCAGGTGACTTATTTGGCCTATGCTATCTCTTTTCATGTAAATCCCAGCTCAGCTGCGTTTGATAACTGACAGCAATCAGAGCCTAAAACTAGGACCAGTTTTCCTGGCATATATCTGTTCATGACTGCTGTCTTTTTTTTAACCAAAGAGCAAGACCCAGAGAGTGTTTTGAAAAAAAGTCAGGAAATTTAGATTCCAGCTGTGGACTTTTTTAAAAAAGAATTTTTATTTATTTATTTATTTTATTTCTATCCCGCCTATCTGATCGTATTCGACCACTCTAGACCACTCCTGATATTTTTTGTTACACTAAAGTAGACTATTGTTACATTTCATAATTCTGTTTAATTTCTCATTACAACATTCAGATTTTTACAGCTACAAGTAATTTTACCCGGGCTTCATGCTCTGGAGAGGATACTCCTCGATTCAGAGCATGTCACCATAGTCTCTCGAGACTGAAGGATGCCTATGATGATGAAGTAATTTAGGGATGGAAAGAAGCTGTTTACTGTCATAACATGAAAAAGAATAGTGGAGCCAGAGTAAAAAAGATTTTTGGCAGGCATTTTCATAAACATCTAACTTCTGGATTACCCTTGTTAATGGATTTTTAACAAAATACTGCTATTATGCTTGGTGATGAAGATAAATAAATAGAATAAAACATGTTGCAGCTGCTTTGATCCATCCCCCAACACTTTTACCTCTTCCTATGCAAAAATGTACTTGAGAAAACCCAACAGAACATTTCTGGTTTGTTCAAAACTGTGTGACAATTATGAACTAAATTAAAGGGCAGGCCCCACAGAATACCAGAGTCCCAGTTCATATACTCCCTATGCCTATTTACTTTTAAAAGGCCATTCACGTAGTTGGCAAAATCCACATTTCCTAGCTGTTTCTCATCTAGTTTGCCCTGAGGCAGGATAGTTCAATGTTTCAAAACATCAGTTAAAATACTAAGGAGAGACAGAATAATGGGAAATAAATGTTTAAATCCTGTTCATGCAAGTTCCATGGCATAAGTCTGATGATGTCAGGCAATTAAATGTTTTCCCCTCCTATCACAAATCCCTTCAAGTCCTGAGATTAAATGTTTTCCCCTCCTATCACAAATCTCTTCAAGTCCTAATTCCTTTCAACTTTGGGAATATGTGTGGGCTAAGGGATTGGATTGCACCATGCATGCGTTTATGTAACTTTTTGTCATGTCCTTTCCAGCACTCTCTATTGGTTGATTGTACGATGCAATCTAATGTTGAGGTGCTTAGGAACCATCTATGTAAAAGTTTAACGTTTTCCTTGATGTTCACTGAGATAGATTTCAGTGCCATGCTTCTCCATATAACTAAGCATTCTTCATATGTGAAATTTCCATTCATATCTTTTTCCCATATCAGTCTGATGCCTATGAAATATCCAGAGGTTTTGCCATTCAATATTTTTATACAGATTAATTTAAGTTTTAAACTGCTTCTTATGAGATAGTATTACTGCCTCAAAAGCAGTCATACTTGTGGTGCCTTGCTGGGTTGTTTATAAAATATAGCACTTGATGTACAGAAAATATGGTATTTTAATTTGCTTCCTTAGTTTGTTGTCTTATAATCCGCTTATGGCCACAATATAATGTAAATCTTTAAGTCTGACTAATCTTGCACTTTTCCTTTCTTTAAATTGTCAACATTTGTCATAATGAAATCACAGTGTGATGAACTGGTGAAGATTCTCAATCATCCAGGTGAGGTTATCTGGAAGCTGAGTTTTTCTTATTAGGTTGAAATGTTTCGCTACTCATCCAAATAGCTTCTTCAGTCTGAGGAGAGTTGGTAGGAGACCCCAATATATCTTCCACATTGATTTCACTTCCCCCCTGGTCTGAATAGGCTTGTTAGATGGACACAGTGTGATCTTATGTTTATTCAGAATAAGTTCCTTCCAGACCAATGAGACTTGGATGTAGGCAAGTAAGAATGGCAAAGTGATGCTCAGGGCTTTGACTCATATGGAGTGAGAAGTACCTGATGTCCAAGCTGGATTCCAAAAAGGAAGAGGCACTCAAGATCATTTTGCAAATATCTGTTAGTTATCAGAATGTATCAAATAAATTCACTCTATAGAATACAACATAGAAAACTACCATATTTTTCCCCAAAAGTGGGGGGGAGTATGTGCGTCTTATGGAGCGAATAGTGTAAAAAAGGGTTCAGCCACCATCACCCAGAAGCCTCCCACTGCCATGTTGGGAGGCCTCTGAACAGGCACCAGAGGCTGCTCGCCATGGCAGCTGCATTGGACCTCGCCACTCTGCCATCTGCACTGCTGGCTTTCAGGATCTGCCTCCTGGAGCCCACCTCCAGGCCTATGGCAGCAAATTTAAATGGCAGAGGACAATGAAAACAGCCAAGGACCGAAAGGGAAAGAGTGATTCTAGAAAGACCAGGGTAAAGCACAAACACAGTTCCCCACTACCACAAATTATGCAGTTGATTTCCCCACATTTGGGGAAATTACAGGGATCGGCACACCTCAAGTGCAATGGATGAGCCTCATGCTGGGAAAACCACTTTCATGATCATGGTATCTGCCTTGCCAGGTAAGTATGAGTTGGAGTGGCCCCTGCACCTCCTGCCACCTTCTGTGCCCTGCCCCCCAAGGCATGGTGACCCCCCCGCTGCACCTCCTGCTCAGAACAGGGCTGCACAGCCCCAGTCCCGCCAGAGGCCAAGAGAGCTCCTCAGTGTTTTGGGGTGCCCTGCGGGACCCCCATCAGGGGCCAGGTGTTCCTCCCACAATCCTCCAGTGCACAGATATTAGCATACCTAATGTGCGGGGAAGGCAGGGAAAGCGGGAAATTCAAACGTTCAGTTAGCAAAGAGGCTGGTTGTCTGCTTCCTCACTCGCCCAAGTGGTTAGAGAGCTGGGAGAGAGACCTGGGACTCCCTGGGACTGCCTGGTATTGTCATTTTAAAATGTAAAATTTAGTTTAAAAGCTGCTTGTTTTGGGTTAAACCATGCTTGGGTGAAAAGGTGTTCCATTTGAGTTGAAACCTGCTTGTGTAGAAACATGCATGCTTGCTTTAAAAGCTGCTAGTTTTACTTTAAAAGCTGCTTGTTTGGGGTTAAACCATGCTTGGGTGAAAAGGTGCTCCATTTGTTATAGTTTATTAAATATTTTATTACACTATTTGGTTGAGAATATTTTTTCCTATTTTCCTCTTCTAAAAATTAGGTGCATCTTAAGGTCAGGTGTGTCTTATGGAGCGAAAAATACTGTATATAACTTTAATGTTGACAGCAAAGAAATTTACATTGATTTTTTGGGGGTAAACCTTGGTTCAATCACCAATCCAAATGCAGCCAAGAAATTAGAAGGAGGCTGATACTCAGAAGGACAGCAATGAAGGAATAACAAAAAGAAGTGAAGTAAGGGTGTGTCGCTGGAGTCCAAGACCAAGCTCATCCACACTCTTGTATTCCCTATCACCATGTACGGGTGTGAAAACAGGACAGTAAAGAGAGCTGGCAGAAAAAAAACCTGATCCATTTGAGATATGGTGCTGGAGGAGAGCTTTGCAGATACCCAGGACTGACAGAAAGATGAACAAGTGGGTCCTAGAGCAAACCAAGCCCGATTTATCTCTAGAGGCAAAAATCATGAAACTGAGACTGTTCTACTTCAGGCACATCATGAGAAGGCAAGATTGTCTGGAAAAGACAATAATGCTGGAAAAGGTTGGAGGTAGCAGTAAAAGAGAAAGACCAAATATGCGTATAAGATGGATCAACTCCCTAAAGGAACCACAGGTTTGAGTTTACAACAGCTGAGGAGAGGAAAGGACATTTTTAAGATTGCTCATTCATAGGGTTGCCAAGTTGGAGGCAGTTTGGTGGCACATAACAAGCACATTTTGGATATGTAAAGACTACCACCCTCTCTGTGATTTTTCTGCTGAATGTCTACTGCAGAGGACAGAAGCTTTGTACAGGACAGTTGGCAGATCTTCGGGGCCCAATCTGGGCATTTTTCTCCAATGAGGTGGACACCCTATAAATTGATACCTTTGTTACGTCTGTCTCATGTAGAGTTTAAAACTTCCTTTTGTCTTTCTGAGATTCTGACTTCACAAGCCATGGCTACCACATCTGGTTCAATTCTGGAACTTTCTGCTTGGACCCCACGTTTAGTGCCATCATTGCCTAATCAAGAGTTCTTAGAACTCAAAAAGTCACTTTATCTTACCTTAATTATACAGTAAAGCTATTGCATAACCCATAACTTTGCTTCAATGTTTATTAAATTATTCTTACGCACTTACAGTGAAGATGAATTGCATCATATATGAATATACAAAATTACTAGTAAGCAATGCAGACAAGGTGCCAGAGTTTATTAGTGAACAAAGTTAGACAAGCCACTTTCTCTTAATCCACTAGGTGAGTGCCAAGTGGGCTTGTGATAAGATGTATGCTGTTAATGAGAATATAAGGACAGCACACGAGACTACATGTTTTAGCTAAATTTATGGAAACAATGAATGGTTAGACAGTTGTTGGAAAATAGCCTTTTTAAGACATATAGTACATAGTACGTGGGATTATCACAATCAAGGAAACACTACAATGAACAGACATTTACAGTGCAGTCCTAGGCATGAATACTCAAAATTAAATTACTAAATTAAATGGGACTTACTCCTCCTAGGACAATGTATAGGATTACAGAAATAAATGGATGGCTCTTCTAATATCTCTTGAAGGCCTACATTTTAAAGCATACTCTGAGTTGTACAATTTTTTTAAAGAAATAAGATATGGAAAACTACTTGATTTTGAGGAAAACACAAATTTTCCCATCATTTGATTTCATGACAACATTGTAACAAGCAGCCCAGCTCTGTTCACCAGCCAATGTTTTGCTGGATTAAAGCTTTAGTATGTAAGACTCTATTTTGAGACCACAGCTTATTCACGGGATTGGGAGAGGCTTTTTATGTTAAATAAACATTGAAAACAGGGAATATAAATCAATGTGTACTTCCTGTTTTTGTACTTTTGTGTAATGTCTGAAAGAGGGAAAATAAGAAAACATAGAGTACAAATACAAGTGCTGTTGTCATTCTGACACATACTTAATTCTCCACAACCATCCAAAGTGTGGCTGCCAGAAGAAGTGCAAACTGTGAGACAGAGTTCCATCCAATTATATTTGGTGTGGAATCAACAGCTTGTTTCTTATGAACTTTCAACTATTATAACCTTGCTTATGATTTTCAAGGTCCACACAACTGTTGCATATTTCTCACTTGACTGTGGAAGTAGTCCTGATGCCTCCAGCAAGGTAGTGCTCCTTCACATCTTCCCAATGCTCAAACCTCAGTAATCTGGTTTTCTAGAAAATATACCATATTTTCCTGTTTATAAGACGCCCCCTACACTTTTCTAACCCCAAAATTAAAAAAACGTAGCTTTGAATATTCAGCATCTGGGCTCAGAACGCTCGGACACTGAGTCCCCATTGCATATGAGCCTGAGCCTACAGGTTCCACCTCCAATGAGGTGTGTTCCAGTTGGTTTGTTCAGCATCAGCTGATGCCAGTTCCACAAGGCTTGTGATTGGAGGAAGCTAACCCTCGTGATTGAAGGAAGCTATTTACAGAGGCAAGGTATGGCCCATTTTGTTATCTCCATGTTCTCAGCTTACTTCCATGTATAAGATGCCCCTCAATTTTTAATGTAATGATTTTAGGAAAAAGTAGCATCTTATACATGGAAAAATATGGTAGTTGCATTCTTTCTCTTGCACCTGTCAACTCATGCAGCAGCTTTAGTAGTGGGTAGTGCACACAGTGTGTATATAAAATGTTAATGGCTCCTACTGGACACTATCTGTGACTTCACTGGTGATGAGCAAAATAATTCACTCCTCCCCTTCCTTGTGCTGTATTATGATCATGTGAAAACATTTATTTTATAGTTTCATGCTTTCTTGAGCAATCCCTTGCTACACTACTGAAATGAGGTACACTTATAGAGCAACAATAATTACATTTTTGTTAACAGTGCTGTAATTCTGTGATTACTTACAGGGATGCCCCTTATGCCAGGTGCACCTATAAGGCCTGTAACTCCTAGAATCCCAGTGTCTCCTTTTTCACCATCTTCTCCAGGTAATCCTTTGTCTCCTGTACTCCCCTAAAGTACATACACACATAAACAGAGGTCAAAATGGAAGCCACTATTTTATTAAAAATAACCACTGCAGAAAAAAAAGTTATTTTAATGGAAGTGCTTTCTTTGAATAAAGCCTAGACCAGGAATTGGGTGCAAGGAATATGATACTTTCACCCACAACTCCAACCTACTTTTTTTACATTTGCCATATTTGCAATTCATATGCTAAACTCACTTCAGCTACAATATAAATTTGATTAGAAACCATTTTTTTTTATTTGTATTCCTCTCTGACAACCTTTCAGCTACAATATAAATTTGATTAGAAACCTTTTTTTTTTTTGCTTTATATACCTCTCTGACAACTTCCACACCTATACATTAAACAGTACAAGACAGTTTCAAACCCACTTAGGACATCATGTGTGATGATGTATGAGGAGTGCTGCAGACTTCTTATGAGTTCCTCTTCTGGGTTGACATTTGAATAGTCTTTGCAATATAATCATGTTGCAGCATGATACAAACAACAATCAAACTCTGTGTAGGACTAAGGGCTGGGAGTGGAAAAACATTTATTCTTGTGCTACACTGGAAGACAAATGCAGAAGCAAGAGTAATAAAGCAGGAAGGTGGAGAGGAGGACCAAGATCCTGAATGCTTGTCCTTCTTCTGATGTGCAGAGCAGATATGTATACGTTGCTTTATTAGTGAACAATAAAGAACTAACATGGCTGATCCACAGACAACTAGTTTAGATCAGAAGAGCAGTTCTGGAAAGTGTATCTGGATGTTAGTTCCCCATATTCTGACTGTGTACTGTTGCATGCTGCAGTACACAGCAGGTACTGGAAAAGCTTTAATGGAAAATCAGATTCCCTTTCTCCTTCCATTATCTCTGTAATCAAATGAATGCAGTATAGATTACATGATCTGCCCTTGTCCCTTTCTGATCTCATCATTTTAATGAAGTGGGAGAAACCTATGGTAGCATTGCATCAACATATAAAGTGGAGGTGGGCAACTATGGCCCACCAGATGTTTTCAGCCTAAATATTTACAAACATTCTTGTCCGTGGTGTTGTTTCAACACATCAAGACTTCTTATTGAAAAAATAGTCAACCATGGCAAGGTTTTTCATGCATCAGCTGTATTAGCAAAAAACGTGTGGGGGGGTTGTACAAAATCTTGTATTTCTCATCAAAAATCTTGCATTTTGTGTAAAATAAATTATAAATTATTTCTGTAAAATACCTCAAATAATTTATAATAAACATTCTAATTGGTTAAACCACAATGCATGCCTTAAAGCAGGCATGTCCAACCTGCGGCCCAGGTCAGCTCGTAATGCGGCCCAGTGTAATTTTTTATTTTTAAAGAAATTCCAAAGTTTCAAGTTACACTGCCGGCGATTGCGGCCAGAATGGGGCTGGGGCATGTCACAACAGGGGGGGGGGAGAGGGGGCTGCGTGACTGCATTGCGCCGTCCCCGTCAATAGGTGGACCCACTCCCGGCCCCATAAAGCCACCAGAGTCGAAGCTGGCAGTCTCTGCTGTCTGAGATCACAGCTGCCGGTAAGCCTGCTTGGAGCGGGGCTGCAGAGGATGGCTAGGGTTGCCCCCCATGTGGCCCGAACCAAATTTTCATCTTCTAAAGTGGCCCAGGGAAGGTGAAAGGTTGGACACCCCTGCCTTAAAGCAATGTGTGAATACGCCCAAGGAAGTTCAGGCTAAAGAAATCAGAGGCATGAAATAGAATTTCTAGTTCTGCAGTTAAATCCATAACCAATGGCCCCTCTGGTGGTCTTTGAAGAAGAAGGAGACATTCTGATTGAAACACCTTAATTTGAGTTCATATTTTGTCTTAATTTAGGCCAATCTTAGCCAGGAAAAATGTGTTCTATGCTGCTTCATCTAATTTTTTGTAACAATTTATTTAATTTTTCTCCAGACTTATAAGAAATATTCATCTTAATCCTTCAAATATTTTGTTGCAAGGCCCCTGTGGAGGCTGCAGTAAGTGTGACCAGTAACACTTGGTCAAGCCAGGGAAAAATATACTTGGAGTATATTCCACAGCGTAGTTAGGGCTGACTGCAACAGCTCATGACCAAGGATTGTGTTAGGTAGCAACTTATCTGCACTTTTGTCTCTCTGATTTCTTGCTGCAAGTGCAATATTTCTGATATAGTCCACCATCATCAGGATGTAACAGAGTACATCTGTGTACGTCCATGTAGCAACACTATTCTTTTGGCCAAGATTTTCAAATATAAGTTCTTCATTTAAGAACACAGCAGAAAACATTTCACTGTAGCCATTTAACAGTAGTAACTATTAAAATTTACCTTTAACCCATCCTTCCCTTGGACACCTTCTTCCCCTGGTGGTCCGGGCACACCCTATTTTTAAGAAGAAATAAATACACCTGTAGTCATTTCCAAATACTACGATTCCCATACAAATTACACACATTGTACCTTTATTGTTTCTGGCCATAGGCCTTTACAAAGGCAGATTTACATAAAAATGGTTAAAACAAAAGGATGCCCCAGGGGTCAATAAACCCGTTCTGGGAATTGTGGCATAGTGTATAATATCAAAGTCACTATATTCAACATTTAAGTAATATTATGAACCTTAACAAATCAAAGCCTCAACTGCCAGAGCAAATTGTGCAACCGAGTACGTAATATACAACTGTGTATCAGCGAGTAGTCTTATTATGATTTCCACTGATTACAGTTGGGATACAGCTGAATAATGGGAGACAAAAATCTTTCTCTGAGGACAGAGTAATAATTAGTGAATTAGGTTTTCAGTCTGATTGCAGCCACAGACACATTTCTGCTCCTCCGCCGGGATACCTTTATACAGTGGTGCCTTGCTTAACAACATTAATTCGTTCCAGCGAAATCACTGTAGAGCAAAAACGTCGTAAATCGAAAATAAAAAAAACACTGAAATGCATTTAAACCCATTTATGCATTCCAATGGGCTAAAAACTCACCGTCCAGCGAAGATCCTCCATACGGCAGCCATTTTCGCTGCCTGTATAGTGAGGAATCCGTCCCTAAGCACAGCGGGGAGCCATTTTGAGCACCCGGCGGCCATTTTGAAAACCCGACGATCAGCTGTTTTGATCGTCATAATGCGAAGAACCGGTTCCCGAAGCAGGGAACCGATCTTCACAAAACAAAACAAAACAAAACAAAAAAAACCATTATAAACATCTTTTTTCGATCGCAATTGTGATCGCAAAAACATCGTCATGAAGCGGATTCGTCATAATGTGGGGTAATCGTTAAGCGGGGCACGACTGTACCTCCCTTCAAGATATGCTGTGGTCATCTGCTCAAATGTAATTTCTGTGAATGCTCTGCGGATCTGAGGAAAAGTCAGTGACTCAAAGTAACTTGGTTTTGCATGATTCAACTGCAGTGGGGGGTACCAGGTGGGAAAACAGGACCCGACAATAACAGCCCTGTCCTGACTGGCATCAAAGTTGAGAATCCATTTTCTAAGGTCCCGGGAGCCTAGACTGAGGAATTTTTCCAGTGGGAGGTTATAGGCTTTTAGCCAATTTACATCATAGTCAATCTCATTCTATCAGGTCAAAGGCTGATGAAAAATCAATGAAGATGGCATAAAAATATTTGCAAGGCGGTTTGGTGTATTTGCTTTTTATGTGATGTAGGACAAAGGCTTGATCTATTTGTAGTCCTGCCTTTCCTGAAGCCTGCCTGTTCTTCAAAGATGATCTAGTGTTTGCTGTCCCAATCTAAAAGCCTATCCATGAGATATCTAGCATGAAGCTTTCAGGCCACATTAAGAAAACTGATAGGTCTAAAGTTGCCAGGGTCTGGGGGGGTTACCTTTCTTAAAAACTGGCAAAACACTACTGTTTTGCCAGCCTGTAGGGAGATTTCCTGTGTTGTTAATGTAGGAGAAAAGACTGGCTATCGACCACACAATGTCAATAGCAAAGACCTCGGTAGGGATCATGTCTTCGCCAGGAGCCTTGCCTTTCCGAAGACTTAGGATCAAGTCCTCAATTTCTATGGGGGAAACAGGTGGCCATTCAGGGAGATTAGTGGGAGTCATGTGCCATAAAAATGATCAAAACAGTGGCATGTCATCCCCCCAGGACCATTTACAGTGGACCCTCGACTTACAGATCACTCGACTTACAGACTTTCCGAGTTACAGACTTCTCTGGCTGCAAAATTTAGTTTAGACTTGCAGCCGGAGAATCGACCTACAGACCGGGGGGGAAAAAAACACAAAATGGAACAAAAATGGCCAGTTACGGATTAATCAGTTTTCAATGCATTGTAGGCCAATGGAGCCTCAACCTACAGACTTTTCGACCTGCAACCACCATTCCAATACGGATTAATTCCGTAAGTCGAGGGTCCACTGTAAAGGCAACACTTTATAGGAGAAGTGAGCCCAGATAGTATATCAGAGGAAGCTGCCTAATCTTCCTGTAAACTGATTTCTGGTCTTAAAAAGGAGAAGAAACAAGATGGTATAGTCCAGCCAAATCAATGCAGCAGACCTTGAGTGAGTGAGTGGTACATGCGAGAGTATAACGGGGTATGTGCAGATGTAAGGAAAAAAGAACAAGGAGGTTAAGGTGATCTGAACCTTGAAATGAGAGCCTCACACAAGCATGTTGTGTGTATCACATCACAATCTGAAGTATGCTTAGTTTGGAAACACTTTTTGTCTATTTAAAACAGCATAGCATTCTAGAATACCTTTCCTTCTACCACCATACCTGGTTGTTTTTTTAAAGCAAAATGGAATAATAAAGCACACTGTAATAATCTGCATATTGTTTCTTCCATAATTAGTCTAAGACTAAAGCTGGGCCTACACCTTGTCCTCTAGAACACTGGTTCTTAACCTTGGGTTACTCAGGAGTTTTGGACTGAAGCTCCCAGAAGCCTTCACCACCAACTGTGCTGGCTAGGGTTTCTGGGAGTTGCAGTTCAAAAGCATCCGAGTAACAAAGGTTAAGAACCACTGCTCTAGAAGAAGCATTTTTCTAATGTGAAGATGATTTGTCAACTTGATAATTCACTCACAGATTTTGTTCAGTTATAATGTAAGAAGTTTGCCCTCATAAAGAGCTCAAATTCACCAACCAATGTCTTATTTTGCATTTTAAAACACAACTTGTTTTATTTCCCAAATATACTTCATATTTACCACTTACTCTTAAACCTTGTTCTCCTGATTCTCCAGCATTGCCAACATGTCCAGTATCTCCCTGTTAACAAGCAATATAAGCAAGAGAAAGAGATCAAACCTATAGGCTTGACAGTCCAAACAACAACATGGTCCAAACAACAGAGCAGAACATGATGTTTGGCATAACAGAGGTCTCGTGTTAACAAGCCCAAGCAACAATAACATTTGTCTTTATGTCACTTACATCTAACACATAAACAGTATGGGTATCAACAGAAAAGCCACAAGATAACAGAAATGCAACAAGCCTGTAACTGCTGTACATGTGCTACCTTTCTAGGTTGTGTGTATGCACATTCTTGCAAGATCACTTGGGAACTGTAGCACAAAAGCAAAAGAAAGCAATGTGTTGCACTGGTAGCTATGGGACACACCATTTTTTTTTGAATATGCCAACCTTTCTTCTTTAGTGGCTATTATTGCACATTCTGTAACATGGGCCAAATGGCAATAAAATTCAGCAGTGACAACAAATGGAGCCTTGGACTGTTTCCATCACATGGATTCTCCATGTTCCTGCTTGATATTCTCCACAATCAGTTGTGGCAAGTTACAAGAACCTTGCATGAAGACAAACAGGATTCTGTCTGTTGTATCAAATTATATGAAAACAGCTGAACTTCCAAGTCTCAGACAGAACTTGCTGCTTACAAACACAAGCAAAGAGAACTTGCAAAGGCTATAGAAAAAAGCAGCCAAGGCACATGATGTTCCTAAAGATATATACATATTTAAAAAGATAGCAGTACATCCAGAGGATTTTTCTAAGCAAGCTTGAGGATGGCTTCAGACTAATCTCCAAAATAATGGACAGGTTACTATTATAAGAAGAACAAAGTATCTTTTAACACCTTGAAGACTAATAAATTTCATTTAGCATTAGATTTCACAGACTGTCACCCACTTCATCAGATGCATCATATTATTTCAAACTTTGATAACTGTCCCTTTAGTATGGGTCTCCTAGATTGGCGAGGCTTTCTGTAACAAAAAATGACTTCTTTCTGGATGTTGTACAGAACCCTCCATCTCAGCATCCAGAAGGACAGCTATATTGTAGTTTCAGAAGCCCTGATAAAGAATTTAAGGAAATGCCTAGTTTCCTTTGGTCTTGGAAAATTTATACTTTTGAGGACTGCAGAATGGGGGCTGGGAAAGTCACAGACATCGGAAAATTGCCACCAACCATCCTGGTGGTTGTGGAAGAACTGGTAGTGGCAATTCTCAGACTCTCTCTAATCCTGCTGCCGCAAAACGAGACCATATATAGTATTTCTGTAAACTCTTTAGTGAGATTTCTGCCTATATGTATTATAAATATGACACATGTTTATACTACATATAAATATAATGCAAACAATAAGAAAACATAATAAAAGCCTTTGGGTTTTGCTAGGATAGGTTATGAACCTTCTCCTGGGCTTAGATAATGTCTGGAACAGCTAATTGTGGGGGATGATTGGTGATCTACTTAGAGCCTTAAACATCACCTTGGGTTATGTGTTTTGCTTCATAGGGCAGCAGTTTCTGTGCATGATGGATTAAAAATGGATTAAAGCTAAACTCTGTTCCATGCACGCAAAGAACCAGGTTTTTTAAAAAAATTGATTTGGAGAAAAACATTTAGGAAAATTATGTTTATGTTACATTCATTTGGAACACTGCTAGCTGCCAAATTTGCACTTTGAAGTATGAGTTTTGCTAGGGTGTCTACTGTCTCCTATTTAATAACACCATTTCTATCAACAGAGTACCCACAACAGTCATAGGGAATTGTGTTTAAGACAATCATATGCCACTTTAATTGATGTCACAAGCCATTCAGGGCAAAAAGGACAAACAAATATGGAATTGTGACATAATCAAATGTGACCTGAAACATCAGTATGAATGTCAGGGCACCCCTTTCGCTTCTATTCCTCTTCCAAATTGTAGCCCCCCAACAGGGCACTCCAACAATCAATCACCTTTGTGCCTGGTTCTCCTTGTGGTCCTGGTTCTCCTTCTGGGCCAGGTGGTCCCTGTATTAAAAACATACTTAAGATCATTCACTGTTCATCACTAAATGCTTCCCAATATGAAAGAGGCGAGAGACTTATATGATCAGGGTGGAATTAAAACCATTTCCCCTATCGTGAGCTTGCCTTAGCATATCACCTCAATACCCCTTATGGAACCTGAAATACCCTGCTGTTTTTCATCTCTGTATGTCTTATCTAACTCAGTGCAGTACTGGCAAGAAAGATATTCATTTCTGCTTATTGTTAGGACTTGTTTTGTTTGTTGGAGGGCCACCCGCTACACTTCCAATTCATCTGTGCTGCAGGAGAGAGAGACATTCTTAGGTTCTTGCCTCAGCAATGGGCTTCCCTTGATGGTAGTCAACTGAAGGACTTAACAGGGAAGCATTCTGACTCACATTCAGTTTTCCCCTGCCACCTTGGAATTCCTAGATTTATTTGAAATATGTATATTAAAAACAGACATTCTTCAAAAATTTAGACATTCTTTTTCAGTGACCTGACACCACACCTACACAACAATTAGCACTTATAATACCTTCTGGCCACTAGGTAGACTGTGGAAGTTAGTGGAAGCCATAGTGCAGTAGTTTAGTGTAGTGAGAAGCTTTCCTATAATAGACTCCTTTGTCAATTTTAAAAATAAAATAAAGATAAGGTTACTCACCTCAAAACCGATTTCTCCTATAGGACCAGCATCACCCTGTTGTCCCCTTGGTCCCTACAATTAAACAAAACCTTATGTGTGCACGCCATCCAATATTTCTTTCACAAAATGTAGCACAGTATGTACTAAGGGGATTCTACTGTTGTGAAAGAAAATAAACAGTTGCTTTTCACATTTTTAATAGCTATACCAGGAACATTTAGCGCCCATCAGAACATATGAGTTCTTTTGTCCATCTTCAAGATTAATTTCTGCTTTGGATTAGACTAAGCTTGTATTTACATCCTCTCTTCATATTAATTAATATAGACTCTGCTTACAGATGACTTAATTTACTCTCTGATTTGTTTTGCTGAATGTTCTACTGTCTAGCACAAAATAATGGGAAAGCAATTATGGTATGAAAAAAAATCTGCAATGCCAGGAAAAGCTGAAAGCAGCAGCAGAAGGGGAAGACCAAATAGGAGACAGTTTGCCTCCATAAAATAAGACCTAGCCTTGAATATACAGAAGCTGAGTAGAGTTCTTGAGGACAGCACATTTTGAAGGTCACTCATGCATAGGGTTGCCATAAGTTGGAAGCAATTTCATAGAATGTAACAAGAAACCCTTTCCTTTAAAGAAGAGTAAGAGTGTGCCCTATGCTGCAAAAATAATAAAAACAAGCCTTCAATCTATCACCAGGCTCACTCTAACTTAATTGCTATATACTTCGTTTTCCACATTAACAACAGACACTCTCATACTAGTCTTTTCTTCTTAGTACTTACACTTATTTCTCTTGGAGAATATGAACATCTATCATTCCAAACCTTTGCCATTCTGTATATTTCCATTGCTGCCTAACAGCTAGATTACAGTGGTGCCCATTTGACAACGATAATCCGTTCCAGGAAAATCGCTGTTAAGCTATATCGTCATCAAGCGGAAAAAAAAACCTATTGGAATGCACTGAAAACCGGTCAATGCATTCCAATAGGGAAATACCTTATAGACCAGCAAAGATTGCCCATAGATAACTGCCGATCAGCTGTTCGAAATCACTGTAATGCGAAGCTTCCCTCCGGAAAGCAGTCATTTTGAGAAGGGAGGGAAGCCATTTTGCAGAGGTAAGCCATTTTGCGGAGCCGGGAAAAAAAATCGTATAGCGAACAAACGGTTCGCGAAACAGGCTCCTAACTGATGTCAAGCAGATTCCCCCCATTTTAACCATCATTTTGCGATCACAATAGCGATCACAAAAATGTCATTAAGCGATTTCAACATCATGTGGGGTAAGCGTATAGTGAGGTACCACTGTACTATGAAATGTTAAAGCTTTCCAAACACAGGAAGCAGTTCCTTGCCCAGTCTGCCTTTGTGATAACTAAAGGGCTGCATTTCTGTTCAACGTCTTTCCTGGATGTGTCTTCCACATGAATCCTCCCTAACTCCAGGGCACTGCTGTGGGGAAAATTTAGCTGTGAGCAGGGTTCCACAGGGTCTGCAGGGTCTTCATTGTTATCATGACAGTTTACCCATTTATTAATTCAAGTTTCCTTTTCTCCCATAAGTTCATGTGTGTGACACATTGCTGACATTGGCATTTCAGTGGAAAGCATATGGTCTCTTCTCCTGCTCTGAAAAGAGAAGACGGGGTCCACACATGGAATCTTGTGAATGGGAAGGTCTTTAGGAATGTGCCTACCACAGCTTGGAGGCCAATGTGTCTGCCCCATTCCCAGGTTTGTATATATGTGCATGTGGAGAACATTCCATTGCTTCACACACTATTTAATCCATGCTCTATTTGATTTTATAATATATGGTCTGGGGAGGACATCAGGCAGCAAGCAGGCTGGAGATTAGACCCTACAATGTCTACCAAACCTGTGACCAATAAAGTTGTGGCCAAATGGTGAACCATCACAAAATGGTTTGTTCATCTTCTGCCCCCTCCCTCTTCACATGCATCACCACTGAAGGGCATAATCTTCACCACCCCACCCCTACAATGTCTATAAAAACTGACAAGTTGTTTAAAAGTTTCCTATGCTATATTTCTAACAATATATGACAATTCCTTTGTCTTCTTTCATAACCCTCAACAGTTTTAATAGTAGAGAAATGATGGATGCAGAAAGTATCTCAGAATAACCCCTTAAGTAAGAATTCCAACTTCCAAACACTTTAGGCAAAATAAAATATTACAGACACACTGATACCTGCTTTATACTCCGGTCATAAGAGTGCCTTCCCTTTCTCATTTTTTTAAAAAATTCTTTTTGGTCAACTCATGACAAGATAAGTCTAAGTGAAATATTAAGAAAGTAGCAATTCAGGGAGAAGTGACTTTCCACAAAACTATTTTCTCTGCGTAGATCATCCCCCTGAAGACATTGTTTGCGCTTTTGACTTGCATACATGATTTCCCTTAACGGAAAAAAGGAGGTGTTAAACGGGGGGGGGGGAGTACTGTTGTTGACACTCCAGTACCATGATCTCTGTCTGAACTGGAAGAAGCACTGCTGCTATCTGTGAAAAGTTAGAAAGAAAGGAGGTCTGATCATGGACCTCACTTTCTTGTCTCACAAAGCAGCTTCACATTTTGACTGAAAGTACCATCTGTCTCCTCAAAATAGCTGTTACAAGAAAATGGATCACATATCACCACAACAATACTAAGAATTTTACAAGACAGCATTGTTCTCACATGGTAAAACAGTAAGCAATGAAACTGATTAACAGAAACCTATTATCTTCTTTTTAAAAACTTTGTAGATGCATATGTTCAAATGCCACATCATTTGCCTTAGATTCACACCAATTCCTCCCCCAAAACATAGTGCATTTGAATAGAACTACATAATCTCCCAGAATTTATTATAATGTTGAAATTCAGGTTTTCAGCACTCCCAGTTTTAGTGAAGAAAGGAGTGGAAAGTACATGAATTATTCACAAGCTTCACTGGCAGAGAGGTAATGCTTGTTTGATTTTCTTTTTGTTTTCAGACATCTAAACTCTTGCAATTCTGATATTCCCTTGCTATGCTCCAGATTCTATGCATAGGTATAGAGATGGAGAATACCCACAGCAAAACAACATATGCAGCAGGACAAAACACTATGAAAAATATGGAGTTCTGAGCCTAAAAGGAAGGAAGGAAGGAAGGAAGGAAGGAAGGAAGGAAGGAAGGAAGGAAATCCTCCATAAAAATGTGCATTGATACCAAGAATGCATTGGAATCATGCCATTCCAACTTTAAAATAAACCATGCCGTACTGCATATGCTAGCTCTTCAGAACTAAGAGTGCAAATGCATTAAGTGATATTGGTCCAATATGTAAAGTTTTGAATCTTTTTTATCTCACTTCTTTAGGACCAATATAGTTAACATTAGAAAACAAAAAGTCTGCCAGCAATGCTTTTAATAAGCCCCCCTTTAAAGCTCATGGACTGATGCAATGGTTTTATTACAGCTTTGAAATACAAAGGGGTGTATAAATGAGAAAGATATCACTAGTAACTGATCAACAGTAATGTTTCTAAACATGAAACACATTTTAAAAATCTGAATTTCTTCATTAAGAAGAAATCTACGTGACAACACAATTGACTGCAGAGCTGCTTTAGTGTCATGTAGCTTAGACTCTAAGCATTCAGCCAAACATTTTTCTATACTGTTCCCACGGAGCTCAGACAGGGTTGGCACAGATACTTCTATCTCATGACTCTACTGGAAAATCAGTAGGCCAGACCTATAGCAAACAATATTGGGAACTTTTCCAGCAGTAATGGGAAGTCAGGTAAGCAGCAGGTAGCCAACATTAAGACTGTAATGGCAGGTATGACACTTAGGTGAAATCTCTCTTATGCTACATTTAATGCTACTTCCCCATTTAAGGCTAAACAGAAACATCCTCTTGCATTGAGCAGTTGATAAGCAAGGTATAAAAGTTACTCCCAAGCTGCTGTGGAGAGAGAGGGAGGCTATCTGACAGTCTCACCGCTATGGATGAAATCCCAAGAAATGAAGGGAGTAATTCCCCCCCCCAAACAACCTTATTTTGTTCTTACAGGAAAGAAGGAAAACTATAATATATCCTCCCCCCCGGTTGGAGGAGATTACAAGAGGTTTTGTGAATTGCTTACATCTTGGTACTTTTCTGTGAAAAATTTTCAGAAGTGTTTTTTGTACAACCTCCCTTCTATTTTCTGCAATATATAAGGCTAGAATTCTGTTTGGGATTACTTCAAGTGGATCCAAATTTGCAGCAGCAGTTGCGGCTACTGGGCAAGTTGCTGATTGTGTGATCTGATGCATAACTGGCACCTTCTTCAAACAATCATCACCACTTCTGCAATCAGTGCTGCTCATGGTGAAGACAAGTTCCCAGGAAACTCCACAATTCATTTAAGAGTGTTATTGAAAAGTATGGAAAACAACTTACTGGTTCACCTATGGGACCCATGTCCCCTGTGTTTCCAGAAGGACCAGACAAGCCCTAAAAATACAAAATTAACAAGGAAAAAAGCATTTTCAAAATCCATATGTAAAAGTTGTTTGATTCATTGGTCTGCACATCTAAAACAGGAAACCCATTTATTGACAATTGTTCTTCTCAGCTCATAAATATGTATCTGTAATCAGTACTGATGTTTAACTGGCTAAGTGGTTTAAAAATCTCTCCATTTTGATAAGCAGTTTCCTTAGTAGTCTTTGAGTACACAGAAATGCATATATACAGAGATTATGCTTGCAATCCTGCAAACCAGTAGTTCCCAATCTTGGTCCCCAGATGTTCTTCTATTAAAACCTCAGAAGCCTTCACCACTAGCTGTACTGGCTAGGATTTCCAGGAGTTGTAGTCAAAGAACATCTGGGGATCCAAGGTTGGGAACCACTGCAGATTGTTACTTTACTTCTCTGTAGACATGTACAGGATTGCACTGTCAATGTCTCAAAGCAATTACAGTCAATGTAAGATCAGCCTGGCGCCAGAAAATGACATAAAGTCAAATTTGGCTCAGTTTCATTGCTACACCTGTTGCCTTAACTCCAAAAAAACCCTGTAAGTACAGAAAACATACAATACTATTAAAGGAAAACCTTCTTCAATAGTAGCATACTTTTAAGTTTCAAGCTGTAGAAAAAGAAAATGTATTTTGAATCACATTCTACTCCAGTAATTTTGTATAAACCACACAAGACACATACCAATGAAGGTTTCTAAATATTAACAGAGTTTGTGGATTAAATCCAAGTTTTAATTCCAAATAAGGCTAGACCCACTGGATGAATGGAGCCTCTTAACACTTCTCAAAGTTCCACAAATGTGATGAGTGTAATCTATTTCGGGCTAACAACTGGATCTAGCCCTTTATTGAATATAGTGAATATTTTTGGGGAGGGGTGACATTCAGAGTGATAATCCAGTAAAATTGATTTTGTAGTTCAAATTGTAAACTGAGATATATTATGAAAAAAGCAAGAAAATAAACAAAAACAAACAAACAAAAACTTAACAAAATCACAGAAGCATAAACAGCTATACAGTGGTGCCTCGCAAGACAAATGCCTCGCAGGACAAAAAAGAAAAACTTGCAAGACAAATGGTTTTAGCAATGGGGTTGATGACTCGCAAGACAAATGTTCCTATGGCTATGCTTTGCAAGACGAATGATTTCCATTTTTTGTTCCTGCCTCACATTTGCTGATTTTTAAATGTTTTTTCTATGATGTTTAAAAAGTTAAAAGTTTTTTGATTGAAATTTTTAAAATCCTCTGCTCAATATGTATGGCTTTAAAGAGCACTTAATAAACCCTTGGTAAACCAAATTTGACTTTGTTCTGACTTTTTTTGCCCATAGGAACACATTAATTAGATTTCAATGCATTCCTATGGGAAAATGCATTTCGCAAGATGAATTTTTCATAAGACAACATTAACAGCGGAACGAATTAAATTCGTCTTGTGAGGCATCACTGTACTGCAATGAATCTAGATGTGTATTTGTGTAAGTTTCACAGGAGGCTATTGAATTGTGCACCAACAACTGTCTTAATGGCATCACCTTATTGGGGAATGCTCTTATCAAGTACCATCTTTATGTCTTTTTGATACCAGGCAAAGGCGTCTGCATTTTCTGTTTTATTTTGTCTTTAATTTCACTTAAACTGTTTTACCATAACAAGTGTGTTTAATATTTTTATATTGCTTTTTCATATTTTCATGTTGTTTTTAATGTGCCTCAATTTTTACAAATTGCCATAGAAATCTGGCTGAAAGACAGCTCTACATCCTATGTGCAAATAAACATGTACATACATACATAACTCCTCCTTTACGTCAAGGCAGGTTTTGCACAATTTGAAGTAACTACACGGACTCGACATTATTTACCTAAATATTCACGTACACCTTTTAAAAGAAAAGCTTGCCTCACCTTGCTGCTCAAGGATATATATTTTTTCTTTTGTTATGTGTCCTACTAATGTGCTCTGGAGAGGACAATCCAGCTTCGCATATAGCGTCAACGTCCTCCATACAAAGCACATTACCATAGTCTCTCGAGACTGAAGGATGCCTATGAGATGAGGTTTACCTCATAAGGTGTTTGTGAACTAGTCTGCTGTATTTCCTCTCTCTACCAACTTGCATAATATTGGGGCACACTGCTGAAATTATACATTTAGGGTACTCATGTTGGCAGAATGGCAATACCATGGCAGCAGTAAAGTTGTTTCCCACTGTGCCCATAAAATAATCATCCAAACAAAGTCAGAGGGAGAGATTTGTTGCTAAGCACAAAATATGAATATCAGGCACCTAATATTTATGCGTTCAGGGCAAACATGGAAAGCACTCATAAGGTCTTAGAACTCCAAAGACAAGACCACCTCCCCCCAAAAAAAGTTATAAACAATACTATATGCTTTCACATGGGACAGTAAGCGAAGATTCTGACAAAAATGTACTGTTACAAAATTGGTTACCACTTTGCTTGTTCCACTACTGTAAATAGATGAACAAAAGGCTTTTTTTCATTTTACCATCATAGGGACCATGTTTGCTGATCCTTTCACAAGATAGGATCACAGAGCACAGTTTGTCCTTAGTTAACAAATCTCAGTTTGTTTGGAGCATTAAACCAGGACCCTGGGGGCAAAACAGGAACGATTTTGGGGCCAAATGGAGAGGAGCATCACCCCAAATCTTTTGGGGTGATGCCCCTCTCCATTTGGCCCAAGAATCTTTTGAAGAGACAACTCCTTTCCCAGCAACAAGCCACCTATGTTCCAGACAATACATTAAACAAAGCATATCCAGGTTACTTACATGCAATCTGGATTAGGGGCATGCACACTTACTTGTGAGCAAAAACAAAATATATCATAAACTTCATGCTATACTGTATATTTAACCTACTGGAGAAGTTTAGTCTTGAGATCAAATAAATATTTGAACTAGATAGGATATTATGAACTAAAACTTCAGAACTTAAAGATAGTAGAAAGGATATAGGACCAGGCATCCTCCTGTTAAGAGCAGGCTGGAGAAACAGCGCAGAATTTCTGCTCTAATTAATTACAACACATACAGCAATGCTTCTCATAACTCATTTACACCTTTTTCTGACATTTACTTAGCATGCACTCTTCACATACTGTATTTCATACTTTCTAGTGAATACTATGTTTCTAGTGAATACTATGTTTCAAAAATTCGTGAAGTGGATATAATAAAGATAAGATTTCTGTTCCTCTGGCAAGCAACAGGAAGGGGGCAGCAGATTTCTAAATTAAAACATAACAAAACTTAGAAGTCATATTATCTTCTTTGTATTCCACCATAGTTTAAGAACATTCCTCTTCCAGCAAGCTTAATATTCTCTAGCTGTTTTAAGTTATCAGCTTCTTTTTAATGTTGCTTTTTTATTACTACGGTGTTAATTAATTTCATTCTCTAATAGTTCTGATTTTTAAATTATTTTTGTGTTGTAAATTGGTTTTGTTTGCTTCTCTGAACACCTCTATTGGCCAGACAAAGCAAGTTATATATTTTAAAGATAAAATAAAAACATCAAGAGAATTAGTCTAACAGTATATTGCACATGTTTATTTCAAGTGTGTTTGTCCTATTTTTTTCTTTTAAAATGTGCATGTTGCATATTCTTCCACCTTTTCAAAATAGCTAACAGTGGACACCATTCAGCCTGCATGCATGCTGGCCTGGTACACAATCAAGAATCTCAGCAGGGACTCATTAATTGCCAGCTAGTAATGACTGAAATGTTATGCCTTTTGCCTTCCATGTGCATAAGAAAGCAATAGGATTTCAGCTACTGATTCAATGGGTCTGTGCTAGCAATTGAATTTTGGCCTACATATCCGAACATAACATCTACCTTCCTATATTTGACCAAGGCCTATTTAGTTCTGGATTTTGTCTTCAACAGCAATATTCACAAGTAGGACATGTCAGGCAAAAAAAATTAAAAAAAATTTAAAAAAAATACAAAAACATTGTGGCACCTCAAGGACCGACTGCTATATTTTTATGTGAGGCTTCATGGACAAATCCATGTCTGAAGAAGTGGACTTGTCCACAAACACTTACATTAAAATACAGCAGTAAGCCTTTAACATGCCACAACATTCTTGTCGTCTTTATCTTTTTTAAACTGTTTTGGTTTTGTCTGACATGCTAGCAAAGACTAACGTGGCTACCTCTTCTAAAAATAGGACATGGCGACCCTTTTATCTTGAAGGATGTCACGGCCATTTGAGTCCCAATCTATGTATATTTAGAGTTGGGATTCAGTTTTGTTCAACTGCCACACCTTTTGATTTGTTTGCAATGTTCTTGCCAAGCATTGTCACTGCTTCGCTTTCTGTATAGACTTTAAACAAAATCTGTATCAAAACAGTATTTCTAATATGGGTTCCACAGATCTACATTCACAACTGTGCAAGGATTTTTTTATTCCTTTTTGAGTACCTGAATCCTCTTTAGGCAGCATCCCAGATTGTTTGACACACTCATAGACATACAGTTGTTTCTAATAACGCAAACATCCACAGATGGCTTCAAATTGATCAGTGGACTAGCAGATGGTAAATAGCCATTTCACGTTTTTCTCCCCAAATCTGTATTTACTCCCTCAGGCTCCTCCCATCTCCTTTTGCATCACAATTTGGACTTATAAAATATCGATGAGGGATTATAGTATAGGGACAAGTATATCTTAACTTATGGGGCAAAGCACTGTTGAGGTGATTTTTGGTGATCAATCAATCAATCAACCTTTTATTTTCTTTCTGCCAGTCTTCTGTCTAATTTAAAAACACCTATGAGCTCCTTTAAACCACAAAACAGCTTATTTTCTTAATAGCTTCTACAACAAAGCAGTTCTGATTAACTGCGATTCATCAACAGAAGCTCTCATATAAAATATACAAAACAATATGGGCAAAATGTAATGATTATATTGACAGTATTTTTAAAAATCTTCTATATAAGCATAAACGACTTACTGGTGCTCCCGGGCTTCCTCGTTCTCCAGGGTTGCCAGCTTTACCCTGTTGAAATAAAATGAAGGGAAAGCTAGTATCATACGGATTTCAAAGAAAGGACTGGTTCAAATTGGTACATTAAATATGATGGCTGGAAAAGCACTACGTCTCTAACACGTACAATGAGTCCAGGAATGCCTTTTTTCCCTGTGTCTCCACGCTCTCCCTGAGGGAAAAGGAAGCAAGATAAATTTAACTGTGCATTTACTAGTTGATTAGTTCTTTAAGTCCTTTTCTGAATCCCAAACTACCGGCATTTATCACCACATATATTAGACAAAAGCAGAGTTCCTCTATCATATATTTGTTTGTTTTAAGATGTATAGATTTCTGATGAAAGTCCTCAGAGCACCTGACAAAAGATTAACTCATCACAATTAATTCTGAACTCCAGAATGAATATGATGAACAGAACCCAGAATTAAGGAACAACACAGTGTTGAAAAACTGTATCCCAACAGAACGAAGCTTATTTTTAAAAATCTACTTTCTCACAATATCATAGTGCTTTCTGGAACACACTTTCTTGAGCACAAGAAAGATTAACAAGTTAGTATTACCTTAATACCTTGTGTCCCTTGCTCTCCAGGAGGACCATCCTGGCCTCTTGGTCCCTATAAATTAAAAAGATAATTCCTTGTATATACTAAAATAAATAAATATATTTTACTTGGATCAAACAGAACCAGCCTGTTAAATAATTGCAACTTGCTGCCACAACATAATACATTTTATGTACTCTCAAGCGAAATCCCAGTTGGATTCTAGCTCATGTTCACCAACTACTGGAACAGCTTCTATCCCTTGTGAAAGGACTGTGAATTCAGTCCTGCTCAAAAATTATTTTTATTACATTAGGGTTCAATATTGTCCACTGAAGATGAAAAAGAGTAGCAAACTGGTACAAGAATATATTTTCAAGGGGTTGCAACTGTAGATGAAAGAAAGGCTTAAGCCTCCTCTACTCAAGTGCTGCTTTGACTCCAGCCAACAAAACCAATCTTCCCTCTGTGTAGGAATTAGATCTGGAGTCAAAGGAGAAAAATACTGCATTGCTGTAAAATAAGAGAAGGAATGGAAACAATTTTCCCAAAAAGAGAGAGAAAAAGAGCTAATCATGAGTGAGAAAGTAAAGGAAGAGAAGGGCAGAAAGGGAGAGAAAGAGAAAACTGGAGAGAAGGACAGGGAAGGAAAATGGAATGGCAGAAAAAGAGAAAAATGGGATGACCCCTCCAATTTCCCCCCATTTTTGGTTTAGGTGCTTGCCTGGAATGTAGTTCATAGGACAATCCACAAAAGAAGATGGCCTTTGATCTAGGAAGAGTTATCCACTTATGCTATCCATATAAATATGTGGAATCTTCCACATGGAGCATTCGGATGACTCCTGTCGAGAAATTCTCTACCAAGTATAAAGAGAACCACTCCAAAACATTTCTCAAATGTTACTAAGTCATATGGCCAGAGATATTATCACTTTTCAATATTTCTAGAAATATCTAAAATGGAAAAGGTCCATCTATGTTTCATTTTATGAAACAGGCAAGACAATATGTAGACATAGGTTATATAATATTTGAATGTGAGTCTTAGTTAAAATAGACCAACAAATGTACATCCAGAGTGGACTCTTACACACTTCTATGAAAGCATAGTAGTATTTCTATAAATAGCACACTGTGACTCATTGCTGGCATGACTGAACTGTATCAAACAGAAAGCATCCCTTCTCACTGCAGTGAATGAACAATTAACAAAATACTGTATGTCCTTTGGCTGCGGTCAGTTGTGATGGTCTGCCTAGTGTATAAATAATACCACATAAACAAAACTGCTGCAGCTGTATCACTGCCGAACTGTAGCCATTGCATATTTCATCTAATGATACAGATTCAACTTCATTTCAAAGAAAAACAAAGCATTTGGATTTAGCATTTAAGAACTTTACACATATTTTCTGTGATTATTATTACTATTGTAAGATAGGTTAGTGATGGGGGCACACCACAAACAGCAGGCAGAGATGTAGCATTTTACCTAAGGTAGTGAATTTGTAGTTGATTATCAAATTATATGTTACAGATACTGTACAATGATATATTACTTATTATTAGAACTGCATTCACATTACCTCTATAGACATGATTCTGTCTGAGAAATTAGGGAGTGACTAGATGGAAGGCTATTCTGGGTTGATGCAAAGTTTTCTATACCACACCCCAGCATTTTCCAACAGCTGAAATTGTTGTTGTTCACATGGAAATGTTTAATGTTTATAAACCAAGTTCTGCAGCTCATTTCAGCTGTTTCCTACTGTTATCACATATTATACACTAGGCTCCCCTGAAGGACTGAACTGGCATGGCAAGAAAGAGCAGAATAATATTAATAAAACTTTAATAATGAATTACTGTCTTTTGATCCCATTCAGCTTACATAATAAGTTCAGAGTGATCAATCTCCAGGTGCAAACATTTCCACTATGGTGCCTACATGAATTCCGGGACGTGGTGGCGCTGTGGGCTAAACCGCAGAAGCCTGTGCTGCAGGGTCAGAAGACCAAGCAGTCGTAAGATCGAATCCACGCGACGGAGTGAGCGCCCATTGCTTGTCCCAGCTCCCGCCAACCTAGCGGTTCGAAAGCATGCAAATGCGAGTAGATAAATAGGTACCATCTCGGTGGGAAGGTAAACAGCGTTCCATGTCTAAATCACACTGGCCATGTGACCACGGAAAGATTGTCTTCGGACAAACGCTGGCTCTATGGCTTGAAGAGCGGGATGAGCGCCGCCCCCTAGAGTCGGACACGACTGGACAAAAAATTGTCAAGGGGAACCTTTACCTGCCTACATGAATTCCAAGTTGGCCTGGATATTGCAGAGGAGTTTTCTTTTTCTTTTTCTCATTCAAGTTCATACTGTTTTAAAAATGCCCAAGGAGGGCACTAAGGCTAAATAGAAATATCACCAGCATTTACAGAACTGTTTTATAAGTTTCAGTGTAACAGTAGTAACTGAGTCAGTCCTTGATATCCAGCCACTGCATACTTGCTGTCAAAGTACAGTCTTCAGAACAGGAACAGAATTACTGGGGATTAAACCTTTACGTAAATGGCAGGGAGCCATGCAGTGATTCTAGTTCAGTTGGTTATACATGTTCTAGTTAAGCCAGGGTCCCTGACAAGAGAAGCAGGACCTTCAGTTGAACAAAACACAGCTCGTATCTTTCAGGAGACAACATACAACTAAAACACAGTTTTGGCTAACGTTTACTTACAATTACCTAAGTCCAATGCAAAGGACCAGAACCAAAATGTCAGCATATTTTAGGCTGAAGCTTTTACTGGCACCAACTAAGCCTTAGGAGCACCATTTCCCCCTTTTTGAATGAGGTGGGGGAGAATGCACAGAAGTACTCAACAACACTGTAACGAGCAAAGGGCTGTGCAATGAGCAAGAACACCAGACATGGACTCCCTGAAGGCTAGCTTCACATCCAGGGCCTGATACTGACCATTCCTGGCGTACAGAAGCATTGTTTGTACAGTGGTGCCCCGCAAGACGATGTTAATTCATTCCACAAAAATCGCTGTTTAGCGAAAACATCGTCTTGCGAAATGCAGTTCCCCACTGGAATGCATTGAAATCCGTTTAATGTGTTCCAATGGGGAAGAATCGTCATCGTTTTGCGGAAATCGCCCATAGGAAAACCGTTTTGCGAAGCGTGGATCAGCTGTCAAAATTGCTGTCTTGTGAAAAATGGTCCCGCAAACACCCGTTTTGTGAGTCGCGGACCTAGCTGTCAAAATCGTCGTCTTGCGAAAAACGCCCCCCCAAAAAACCCCGTCTTGCGAAGCACGGACCAAAACATTGTCTAGCAAAAATCGGCCAAAGGAAACACCATTTTGTGAAGCACTATAGCGATCACAAAAACTCATCGTCTAGCGAATAAACCATTTTGCAAGGTAATCGTCTAGCAGGGCACCACTGTAATTACACCTTTCTTGCTTACTAACTATCCTCAATTGAATGATTCTCACCATTTCATGGCCAACAATTAAGTGTGCTGAACTGAATTTCTTCACATATCTGAGGAAGTGAATTATAATCCACAAAAACTCACACTGAGATAGTTTGTTAGAATTTAAGGTGCTACCCTTCTTTTGTTTCTATTCTTGTTATACATGAGAACAGATAATCACCTAGTGAATATCTTTCTGTACTGCTGTACCTAAGAGTTTAGACAAGCATATCTTAGATAGAATAAGTTACTGCTACTCACTCTTTGACCTTTAGAGCCTGGTGGTCCAGAAGGCCCTCTTGTCCCTGCAGGACCCTAAGAATTAAACAAGGTTTTGAACATTAATGATTTCAGAAGATCAGTTAAAATAGCTTGAGCATCTAACCATTAGCAAAAGATATACATTCCTGAAGTGCTTAAACCCTGGCTGTTTACAACCAGAACAAGAAGAATGATAAATGTTTCCCGAACTATCGAAAATTGTTTATTCAGCTGGATTTATATACTTTTTCTAGATATGAAGTGATAATATGATACAAACATGAAAAATTATTTACACCTGCTACTCACTTAACAGATTAAAATTCCGAACCATTCAGATAAAGGAAAAAAAAACAGCTACATGGTTTCTAGGTGACTAATCCATGTGAAGGTTAAAATGTGTTACTTTACTCTGCAATTAGAGCAGTGGTTCCTAACCTTGGGGTCCCCAGATGTTCTTGGATTAGAACCTCCAGAAATCCTGACCAGGCAGCTAGTGGTGAAGGCTTCAAGGAGTCTTAATCCCAGAACATCTGGGGACGCCAAGGTTGGGAACCAGTGACTAGAGTTACAATTTTATCTTAAAGAGCAGAAACCTGATTTCATGACCACCTTTTCTCCTACCCTTCCTCCAAAAAGCTAAGAGCAGGAAAATGGCCATGCCTCTTCCCCCTCACAGCAACCCTCTTATGAAAGTGGTCCTTAGGTTAGGCTGATATTTAACCAAACCGACAAGTGAGTTTCATGATCAACCAATGATTTAAACCAAATCTTCCCAGCCCTATTCCATTACTCTATCGGCTGTACTAGTCAGCTTTTAAAAAAATTAGAAATTCAGGATTTTTGAAAATTATTACACTTTTCTAAGCAAGTTCATTAGAAAAACACCATTCATGTGACACATTATTATTTTACTATACACAGTTTTTTTAAAAAAAGCACAATGATCAATCAATAATGAAGGACAGATTTTTCAGGGTGATGTGGAAATGGATGAAAATTATCTGTGTTGAAACAAAGCCTCTTTTGCTGGACCCAAGCACTGCAGCAATCCATCTACCTATGTAAGCATGTTCTTGTTTTATTGATTTCTATAATAGTTAAGCATGAGCTTGAATGTCTTTTTTTTTTTAATCAACCCTCACTGGGACTTTAAATGTTCTGAAATTTGTTGGCTTATATCCATGGCTAGTTTCTCTTCTTCCTTTCAAGTTGCTATGTTTCCAAAGTCTTTCTGCAAAGATACACTAATTACTGACAAAGCTAAACTTAAGCTATAACTAAGGACTAATGCCCAGTAGGATGCACCCAACAGTTTTTTTAAAAGTGTTTTATACTTACAGGCAATCCTTGTGGCCCTATACCACCAGGGCCACCTGGGAGTCCTGGATAACCCTGAAAAAGATGATGTAGAAAAGTTTTTATTTGTTATAGCCTGCTTGAACTCTAATGGTTGCCCAATGGCCTGCCCCATCCCACTGCTGTTTGCAATTTGAATTTGATCATGACACTCTGCCAGCCAGCAAAACTCAAGACAGCACTGCTTATTAAGACTGCTAATTGTTCCTTGGGAAGGCAGGATACAGTACTAGAAAGCTGAAAGGTCTTTTCAGAACAAATAAAAAATTGAATGAATCTTGCAGCTTGTTCCAGAGCCTGGCCTTCTGAGGCAGGAGAGCTCATTGGATGGTCTTCTCGGAGCTTTAAGTTAATTTGATAAAATTTAAATTTTTGTGCACATACCTGGTTGATTTCTAAGTGGTTAATGATCAGAAGTATTCTTTGCACCTCTGATCAATAGTCTTTTGAGTGCGTGTGCGTGTGTGATTTCTTTTTAAAAAGCTACCTCCCATGTCCCTGGGAACATGGTAAGTGGAACTGCTTTATGAAAAAGATATCTTTCATCTGCCAGCTTCTGGCAAGATTTAGTTCACACACACATCACTCTGTATAAATAGGGCTTTACCATCTCAAAGAAACACAACATCATTGTGTGAGTTACTCCAGACAACCTTCTATAAATAAATGATAATCAGCAACAGTAAAAGGCCAGTATAAATAACATTCATGTTATTCTACCATTGTTATTAACGACAGAGGTTCTTACATCCTTTACAGCACAAGCTTTAATGGAATATACCTGTACATCAAATAGGCTGTCACCCTTCTGTTAAATACCCATTGACTTACTTTCCGACCAACCAAACATGATATCTGTATTTGTTGCCATTTTATATCTCCTTCTTATTATGTCTGAGGAAGTGGACTTGTCCACAAAAGCTTACATTAAAATACAACAGATTTTATGCTCCTGTCATGTTTTTGTCTTTTTTATTTATTCTTTTATATTAGTTTTTCTTTACCTATGTTTGCACAGACTAACATGGCTACCTCCTCTACAACTAAAAAGCGGTGTATCCGACATTACTTTATGTTCCTTCTTCTATGTACCATGCTTCCCCAAAAATAAGACAGGGTCTTATATTAATTTTTGCTCCAAAAATGCATTAGGGCTTATTTTCAGGGGATGTTTTATTTTACAGTTACTGTATATCATCTTCTGGTTGCTGCACAATGCAGCACAATGGTGGAGGGTGGGGTTACACTTAAATGGGGCTTATTTTTGGGGTAGAGCTTATCTTACGAGGGACGTGGTGGCGCTGTGGGCTAAACCGCAGAAGCCTGTGCTGCAGAGTCAGAAGACCAGCAGTCGTAAGATTGAATCCACGCGACGGAGTGAGCTCCCGTCACTCTGTCCCAGCTCCTGCCAACCTAGTGGTTCGAAAGCATGCAAATGCAAGTAGATAAATAGGGACCACCTTGGTGGGAAGGAAACAGCATTCCGTGTCTTAGTCGCACTGGCCATGTGACCATGGATGATTGTCTTTGGACAAAAATGCTGGCTCTATGGCTTGGAAATGGGGATGAGCACCGCCCCCTAGAGTCAAACACGACTGGACAAGAATTGTCAAGGGGAACCTTTGCTTTTACCTTTATATTACGAGCATCCTGAAAAATCATACTAGGGCTTATTTTCAGGTTAGGTCTTACTGTTGGGGAAACAGGGTAAGTAACTCTCAATAAAGTAAATACATTTATTTACTTTATTACGATCAACAGATCAGTACCGTAATTTTTTCCAGTAAGTTGTTTATTTATTGGACTGTATTGTTGAATGCAAAATAAGGAAGTTAATAAAGTCAACAAGGACAGAGGTCAGAATCTTCCTGGTATTGCTAAGTAGTTGTAAGGTTGATGACATCTTCAGCCACAGATATTAATCTTTCATTTAACATTTCCTACAACCTCCCTCACGTTCTGAGGTCTT